TTAATAAATGAGAATTTGTACAGTAATGAAAGATTTGATCATTCCTAGCAGATGTGCCTTGTTGGCCAATTCTGTGGCCTTTCATTTACTGTAGTGATTTGTTCCTTCAAATAATTGCTACTTTTCAATTTTTCGCATAATAAATATACTTACATGGAGTGTAGCGGAAGACCGACCATTGTCAGCTAGAAACAACTTGTCAATGATAACTTAGAGAAATAAACTTCAAGTCTATACATTCATGAAATAAGAGATAGCAATTAATCTACAACAACAACAACACGACCATCTTCTTTTCACCCTAAAGTTCTTAAGTACAGTATAACTATTATGGCGCCACAGCTGTGATGTATCACTTCATAATATAGACTAGTTCAAGGGAGATAACCAAGATAATGTTATTCTATAAAGACAAGTATTTGAAATAGATAATGCGAAATAGTGTCCATTTATTTATTTATACGAATTTTCCTATCATCCCACGCCATTATATCCTTGCCTGGGAACGTTTAGTTCAGTCGTTGGCCGAACAGACCTCATTGGAAATGTTAAATTTCGCAGCTTTATGATATTTTCCATAGTCCCGTTTTCAAATCTGACCAACCAGCACTAGCCTGGCACCACACACAAACGTCTTCGCCTAACAATATTATCATAAGCAAGGCAAATGTTAGGTCATTTGCCCGTTTGGTTTATAAATAAATTGGTCATAATACAGTATTGGCTCCTGTCTGTCAGAAATTATAACCTAAAGAAAACTTTATATGTTCAGTACTTTAGATTGCACAAAAGACACTCAAGTGAATAGAACCTTTAAATAATTTAGAGTTAGATAGAGTAGAGCTAAGCAGTGATGTATACTGCATCATATAGCTGTTTCGTCATTCAAGGACTAGTCAGTGAAGCAAAGTGCCTAAAGTTTGAAGCATTGGAGGCGAAATCCTAATCTAGACGGGGAGATGCAGAAACCCTATAATTAAATAAAGGCTACTCTCTCATACTGATTGTAGTCCACACGTCTCTCTTAACAAGGATAATAAAGTTTTCCATTCACACAATTCGGTGCAACATTCTTCTAAATCACTTTTTCAATCCATAGAGACTTTTTCACAGATTCTATCATTACTTCTTGAAGTATGTCATTCGATGTAGAGATCCCCTGAATCAAGAAAGGTGGCGGCTGCCTATAGATGAATGACCTGTAACAAAACTTTGACGATTTCCGTTCTGTCCCACTCTCTTAGTCTGAAGACAAATATCTTGTATTGCCAGTAGGCTATAACAGTAAATAATATATAGTAGTATCATTTACTATGAGATTAACACTCGGGATGTTAATTTAACATTCTGGGACTCAACATGTTTGTCAATCAGCAATTTCCGCATCTCTAGCTTGAATCATATGTCATACACAGTTATTCGTGGATAATGGCTCGATATGAGCCAATACAAGTTTGTCTGTACTAAATAACCCCGGCAATTTGTACTTATCCAACAGCTCCTTGTGACCTTGTATTGCACGTGTATTGTACAGTCACGTCTGTTGTGTTGCACCTCTCCCTCGGAGCTTTTGGTCCCCCTTGAAGCATTTCCACTAGACCTGGGTCAACGAATAAAGAGTCCAAAGAATAGCATGTATGATTTGTTCTTCTCTCAATGCTCTTCTTGCTAGGGCTGCTAATGGCTTACACCATGCCCTGAGGTCATCACCTACTCACTCAACATTTTGTGTAGGGGCTTGATGGGTCTCCTACTGCTCAACTGCAGTCAGAACACCGCTTCTGACCTGTCCCTCACTGGCGTCCTTGCTCCAACTGCAGCTTTGGTCACGGACACCGTCTTTCTTCTTTGACTGTAACTGGAGACCTTGGTTTTCCCAGCAGCTGAGTGAAGTAGGTCAATCCGACCCCTCTTGTCTCCCTATGCTGTCTGGGCTCCTGGTCCTCCTGTGGCTTCAATGCTGACTGAGTCACCTTCTGAGTCCTTTGGACTTTCCCAAAGGTCCGCTGGTCTCGAGAATACGAATACAGCTTTACTTCGGCATTGTTCATGAGTGTGTGGCCCTCCCAGATAGCATGTCCATTTCCTTATTGTAGACTAGTACAAACTATGACTCAGTAGAGGGTGCGATGGAGCGCCAACGGATCGACTCCCTCACACATCGGAATGAGGACTTGGTGCACTTTGTGCGTTTCACTTTCCACAGCCGGTCGAACACTGTCTTGCTGGTGTAGTCATCATAGTGAATGGCAATCAACCACCATTCCCCTCGGTGAGGAGCACGTCCACCATACCTTTGATGGAAGAATGACGTAAAGCTGCAGATCCGCCATTTCTGCACTTCTCATTACTAATTGTGGCGATGATATCAGGTGTACCTTTAGTTGTATAAAACTAGTCCGACATCTGCAGGTTCATCGACGCTAAGGAGGTACTTCTTCGGGTTCAGATTGGAATGAAACTACCTTATTACATGATACCGGTATCCACTAGCTTCGATTTTACACGACTTTGCCTTGCTAGGAGGGGCCAAACCTGGTGTCGCAAGTCCATCCAGAGATCCCCTCTCCTAATTTGCAATTGTGTCGCGATTGTTATGGTATTTACAAATGACTTTTTGACAAATGACAAATTGTCTTTCCCGTCCCAAATGAGTCACGTGTAAGCTCGGTTAGACTCGTAGGTAAGTGAAAAAGACAATATTAAGCAGAAATTGAAATAAATATACATGAATATCACACATCCTGTGTACGAATTTCTCTACAAAATACATGATACCGCCTTCCTCCATCCAGATTGTTCGAAGGAACAACTTAACCCGGAATTCGGAATGAGAAATAAAAATGTGTTTGATGTCTAAATTAGATCCAGATCGCTAGTTCTTTAAGACCTGTTTTATGGTTTATATTAGTACCATTCATCAATTACATCTGTTCGTTTCTGTTATGATTTACCGTTTATATATTTATGTCCCATTTCAGGAACTTTTGAGACAAAAGTAACTACTTTGACCAATACATAAGGTTATCAGAAACAGCGTCCCGTACAACAAAAACATGATGGACGTGAAGGCGATTCAGCCTTTGAGCATCATCGTTCTTATATCATTTCTTCAAACTATTAGGATTTCGGTAGTTCTATTTTGATATTTCATTATGTCGACTGACTTCCGGTCTTTATCGAATTTGCGTCTTCCACATAAATATTTACATCTGATCAATCGGTACCGATTCACTTCCGGTCCCTGTTCTGTTATTGTTTAATTTCTAGTCGATAATATTCGGATTTTGCTCGTGTTGTTGGCATCCGGTTCGTTTGGAAGTGGACCTATATGTATTCACTTCCGGTCAGCGCCAATTAGATGACACATAACATCTCTATGGGAAAATATGCTTAAATCTTAGAACACGCCGATTTTGCCCTCTTATGTATCAAATTCTAGTCGGGGTTTTCCGGATGTTGTCCATGATAATAACATCCGATATGTACAGTTTGGGGATCGGATGTATTCACGTCTGCCATGTACTTCCGTTCAGACCTAGTATCAGTTCCGCATCAATAGGAAGTTGGATCCTATCATTGCAAATCGACTTCCAGTCTGGACTGATATGGAGAATTTGGTCTTTGTGATGTGTCTTTCTGTCTGTAATGCTTGGATACTGTCATAGACTTCCGATCTAGACCGCTGTTGATATTGTGTTCACTTCTAAGAATAGCGATCATCATACACAGCTCCACCATAAAGATGTCAGCTGTCATTAGACAAATTATGTCCTCGCGAGAGTCTGTATGGGACAACGTAACGATAAACCTAGCGTTTTAAATTTTAACTCCACCAGTTTGAATTAGGAAGTAACATAATCTCTCAGAATTATGTTCAAATTACAGCCGAGTCTCCGGAAAAGGCGCCATATTAATCTTAAAGAGCATGTTTCATGATCAAAACGTGCTGTTTAATCTAAGATGCCGACAGGTTGTCTTCAGTATGACATGCAACCTTCTATTTTACAACTTATCTTCCTGCTGACAAGTAAATATAATGCCCTAAAATCATCTTTATTGATCCAAATCCGTTACGTTTATTGAGGTGTTGTTTGTGCCTAAACCGGGCTATTGCGAACTATTAGCCTCGTAGTATTAAACAATTATATTAACCCTCATACCGGCCCGTGTAGGAGACGGAGATAGAATACTGCTGTATCTCACTGGCGACTGATTTCAGGGGATATATGAGAACCGAAGAATATCCTTGTATCATATTGTATAATCGCAGGAGGGGCTTAAAAGTGGTCATCGGAAGAATCGAAGTTTTTCTTCATTATACTTGACTTGAGCTGTTTCGATAGCATTAAATAACGCAAGATAAATAAAGAATATAAAATGAAATAGATAAATAAACAAAATGAAAATGAATAAATAAAGCAGCTGTCATGTGTATAGAGAATTTCTTTTTCACGTTCATATCATTATCGTGTCATCCATTCCAAATAAGCCAATTGTGTTAGTAGACGTGGATATAACTGGGTGTTTTCCCATGACCTGGTGATAGAGCTTAGTGATCTGGATAATTTCCATGATTGCTTAATTTTACAAATGGCCCAAAGAAAGGGATATTTTGTTTTCTAAATATTGAGAAACACATGCAACATACGTAAATCAAATGTCATTTTATGTTTTGCTTATCTAACTTCATTTGATATTTGGAAAGGATCTCGCCTTTATTCCAGCCTTTTTTCAAACAATTTATGAGGTCTCTAAAGTCACACAACGGAGTAAAATAAGGAAATAGACAATTCGTGATGAATATCTATGTGACGTCTCAAGTCTAAGTCGTACAAAATCATTGAGAGCACTCTTATTAATTAATACAAATGGATTTGCAGGGGTAACCTTCACATCCGCTTGTGAAATAACGTCATAATTTGTTATTATGACGTCATCATTGCTATTGTGTAATTACCAAGCAACAAGAAGACACGTACAACAATGGTGCTCAGAAAATGGGTTGTACACACTCAAAGCTCTTAAGGAAGAGAAGAAAGAAATCAACGTTTCAAGAATGCAGCTTCATAGAACAGGTATGGACTATGATTAAGACAAAGTACACAGGTCTTACACAATGTCAAATACAACCGACCGTAAATGTTAAACATACATAAAGTTTTGGATGTTGTCTTTCCATAAAGTTTTCTTTCAAGAAAGTTTTACTTACTGTATATACAGTGTATATCAGCTCTATTTTGGCCAATATTGATACTTCTAAATAGCTTAGCCTTCCATGTTGTAACGTTTAAGGCTCTTAGGTACCAAGCATCAAAATAGCAGGAAACAGTCAGTTTGTATTCTTCCTGAAATAATTGGTCATGTTTGAGATATACAGGTATCGCAGTTTGGTTATGAAAAATACATCATTACATGTATATATATTTATAAACTACATAACATTTACATTAAGAGTAGAGAGATAAAACTTGTTTAAATAGAAATTTTCCTCTGATTTCTGACATGTGATTGCCATGGTTACCTACTGGAAAAAATGCTAAAAATGCAAAAATACTGCTAATTCCAACCTAACACTATAGCCTTATAGAAGAAATTTATTTTCTAAACACCTGTCTTAAAATCAACAAAACTGTCATGGTAACAAATTACTAACATTCCAGCAAATTCCATATCGAAAATCCTTCATAACATAACCACATGTAAACAGTATGAACATTTCACTTCCTGTAAAGCTGATTTTTGGTGCGTTGATACAGATTCGAGACTGCCCAAATAGTAATCTCCAACACAAAGCTAAAATATTATCCTGAAAAAAATGAAACCCCACTTTGTCTACTTCAACATGACAAGACCAATTTTAGCAAGGATTTGTTTTTGAAATTTTAATTAAAACCTTTATAATGGGTAATTTAATGAACAAAAATATCACCCATATAACCACACCGAGAAACTGTGTACTGCTACCCAATGACGAGCCCCCCCCCCCCCCCCCCCCCCCCCCAAAAAAAAAAAAAAAAACAAAACAAAACAAAACAAACAAACGAAACAGCTCTACGGGAGATAAATCGAGTATGGAGAGACAGAACTCAACATGTACTTCGGACAACATAATGATGAAAGCGAGATTGGGCGCCAAAGATACGTAAAAAAAAGATGAGAAAAAACTTCGATTTTAGTAAGCAGGGTATGCTAAACGTTCAAGTATACGTCCATGTTCAAGTGAATAATCGTGTTTATTAGATCCCCATCGATGAATCCGGGAGACCTTAGTTTTCCTCTTTTTCCATCTGCCTATCCTTCCGTCCGTCTGTCCCTGCGTCTGTGAGAGATTGACAGCGCTCTAATCATTTTCAAATCATGGTTCTTGCAGAAGCTGAATCACACATTAGGGACCTTTTGTGATCCAAAGCAATTGGAGAAACTTGCCGAGGACAAGCAATTCCGGTAAAAGGCATATCTATATCCGTAGCATATATGTCACATGGATTGGGGTTTTGGTACAAAATTCATAATTTTCAAAAAATGTAATATTAAGTATTTAATCAAGAGAATTTCATGCATCACATAATTGAACCATAACAATGCACATTATAAATAAAATGAAACTAACTGCTTTTCTGCCATAGATAAATAATAAATCCATCATGGTTTTATTCCAGTGCGATGCACTTTGAAAATGATCATTTTTTTTTTGGTCACGACGAGGAAACGTAATAATTAGGTTCACTGAAACATTGACTCCATTACACAAGGCAATGCTACAAAACGCGAAAAATCTAAATAGAACTAGTAAAGAAAATTCCCTTTAAACAGAATTTTAAAACTATTTTTCTTTTTGAAGTTTGGTTGATATAATTTGTTTGGAAGCAGATTCCGGTCATTAATCCCTTGCAACACATTTCATATTTGATATAACAACACCAAATTGAATTGTTCTTGTAAAATAGGAAGATATTATCCTTTTTAATCCATCATTAAATATTCTGAGCGATCAACTGTAAAATTACATGTACATATAAATGACTTATTCCGAGCTGCTAGACTCCATTTACAAATATTTAGAAAAAAATGTAATTTCTTAAATTCTCACATTTTTATTGTGAATAGTTTGAACTCAAAACGTTGACTTAAGTAACTTCGAGTGAAGATACGATTCATAGTTCTACGCTCGCTCGAGGTTTGTGTTGGAAAATGGACCAGTCTGTGCTGACATGGTCTTCCCGTATGTTGTTCAGTTAAACAGCTGTATTCTTTTACAAGACTAGTCCTAATCATTCCGACGTTTTATCAACTTTCACATATCGGTTTGGAGTAATTAATCATATAACTCCGGTCCTGTCAGTCTGAATTATTCCTACGTTTCTGTCAGAACTCCTGTCTTTAAATAGGTGAAGTCAGTAAGAGACCCGCGCCTAGGCCGGCATTAAAGTGATACAAGGGGACTCAAAATGACCCAAGTTGTTGACGGGGCGTTAAACACGACAAACAAGAAACGCAATTGTTCGAACATTATCAAAGTTACATTTTTTCAAGTGCACAGGATGTTTGTCTTTCAGTTTCGATGGATTTTTAATTTCTGGTTAAATGATACCGGGATATTTTAGTTTACAGTAATTGCAAAAATTAATGATAATTAAAACAATGATAATAACAATAACAATGAAATAAAATAAACTGAAATAAAAAATCAATCAAATCAAATCCAAACTTTCTTGTAGACCCAAAGAATGTGTTCTCATGCAAGCCAGTCAGTTCCGACCAATTTTCGGCTCAGTGTCCCCAATCGAATTGGTTAAGTTAAAAAGTGTTCTGTTTAAAGATGGTTCGGCTTTAAATCTTGATCGTTTAAATATAAAACGCCATCAACATCTGTATTTTTATAGTAAAACATCATCAACATCTGTAGTTATAGTAAAACGTCATCAACATCTGTAATTATAGTAAAACGTCATCAACATCTGTAGTTATAGTAAAACGTCATCAACATCTGTAGTTAGAGTAAAACGTCATCAACATCTGTAGTTATAGTAAAACGTCATCAACATCTGTAGTTATAGTAAAACGTCATCAACATCTGTAGTTATTGTAAAACGTCATCAACATCTGTAGTTATAGTAAAACGTCATCAACATCTGTATTTATAATAAAATGCCATCAACATCTGTATTTATAGTAAAACGTCATCAACATCTGTATTTATAGTAAAACGTCATCAACATCTGTAGTTATAGTAAAACGTCATCAACATCTGTAGTTATAATAAATGTCATCAACATCTGTAGTTATAGTAAAACGTCATCAACATCTGTAGTTATAGTAAAACGTCATCAACATCTGTAGTTATAGTAAAACGTCATCAACATCTGTAGTTATAGTAAAACGTCATCAACATCTGTAGTTATAGTAAAACGTCATCAACATCTGTAGTTATAGTAAAACGTCATCAACATCTGTAGTTATAGTAAAACGTCATCAACATCTGTAGTTATTGTAAAACGTCATCAACATCTGTAGTTATAGTAAAACGTCATCAACATCTGTAGTTAGAGTAAAACGTCATCAACATCTGTAGTTATTGTAAAAGTCATCAACATCTGTAGTTATAGTGAAACGTCATCAACATCTGTATTTATAATAAAATGTCATCAACATCTGTATTTATAATAAAATGTCATCAACATCTGTATTTATAATAAAACGTCATCAACATCTGTAGTTATAGTAAAACGTCATCAACATCCGTATTTATAATAAAACGTCATCAACATCTGTAGTTATAGTAAAACGTCATCAACATCTGTAGTTATAGTAAAACGTCATCAACATCTGTATTTATAATAAAACGTCATCAACATCCGTATTTATAATAAAATGTCATCAACATCTGTATTTATAGTAAAACGTCATCAACATCTGTAGTTATAGTAAAACGTCATCAACATCTGTAGTTATATTAAAACGTCATCAACATCTGTAGTTATAGTAAAACGTCATCAACATCTGTATTTATAGTAAAACGTCATCAACATCTGTAGTTGTAGTAAAACGTCATCAACATCCGTATTTATAATAAAATCTGTATTTATAATAAAATGTCATCAACATCTGTATTTATAGTAAAACGTCATCAACATCTGTAGTTATAGTAAAACGTCATCAACATCTGTAGTTATAGTAAAACGTCATCAACATCTGTAGTTATAGTAAAACGTCATCAACATCTGTAGTTATTGTAAAACGTCATCAACATCTGTAGTTATTGTAAAACGTCATCAACATCTGTAGTTATAGTAAAACGTCATCAACATCTGTAGTTATAGTAAAACGTCATCAACATCTGTAGTTATAGTAAAACGTCATCAACATCTGTAGTTATAGTAAAACGTCATAAACAACGTCTATTCACAGAATGAATCACATAGGGAATTCCAAAGGCAAAGACCAGATCGGGAGAATTTTTCGAAGCGAAAACAGGAGTTTGCAACCGAAGATGGTTTTACACATATAAATCCAACATCCCAATTGAAGATTCAAGATGGCGAAGGTGACTTGATGACGTCAATAGGATTTCGTGAAAACAATTCCAGTCATGTCAGGCTAATGAGGAACCTCGTTCTGGTGGAGTTTCCTCGTCGGAGGCGTGAAATGGAATTCCGTCGCCGGAAGCTATGTGCAATGTATATTCTAGCAATGACTGCTTTCGTCCATTGCATGGGAGTCAGGCCAGCTGGAATCAACACGACACTGCTTCTATTGGGTTATGTAGTTTTCCTTGGTGTGTGGCGTCGACCACAAAATTACGTCTTGGCTTAAAAAGTAAAACAAAGCCTATTGCAAAAAAATGTCTCTGCGTTTTCATTTTATTTATAGCAATGATGGATTTCGGGAAGAAAGGAATTTTTAAGGGACAGGGTGTTATCATCATCAATACTCCAGGAGTTAATATCAATTTTGCTCTCCGGAACATGGCTAATCACAGACTGAACGACCCTTTCGAAGATACCAAAGGAGCGACACGTAACCTCAAAGCCAACACAATATATCTTTATGCGACCTCCGATCCGAGTAGATCTGAGGACCAAACTTGTCGCTTGCAGGAATCAAACGTTTGATAAAACGACTCGCTCCTGAACTACATGTGCTGTACTTATACACTGATAAAGAGAAAATCTACATTTTATTGAACACGGAAAGAAAGATTTTGGCCCAATATTACTTTAGAGGATGGGATTATCACATCACTCGTACAATGACAACTAATTTATATTTCTATACGGAAATAAGCTTGAAAATGATTACTTTCTTTGTTTCATGCAAAAAATATTGTTTTCCGCGCGCTTAGATTTTACTAGCTTATTTTACTTCTGTTCTGTAGCTTCAGTGGTACACATTATCAGTGGTTTTGAGGCTCTCACGGTAGACCCATCAAACTTTCAAGCATTGTTTGCGTGCTGAGTCATCGAGGCCCTCCTGGCGCCCATCTGACACCAAAATGACGCAAAAGTGCCTCTTGGGTGCTCAGACATGGTCTGAATAGGTTTGGGATGTGACGTTCCGCGACGAGTCAAAGACGCGCTGTGCGTTTCGCCGACGCATACGGTGGTTAGCTGCTGTAAAGGTTTGGAAAGAAATTTTCCTTTGAATAAAAATCTCCCTTATTGGTTCCAAACCAAATCCTAAACACCGTTCGATAAAGCTAAGACCAGATTCTCCTACCACACAGCTTTACACTACATAGACACCATATCCTCATTATTTAGCAAGACAATAGTCAACAATATATTGCAGTCTTTCGTGAATTTCGCGTGGCAAACAATGCCAGACCTCTAAAATCACCTCCATTTATAGCCGACATTTTTTCGATAACTTGAAACATCATTCTGTTTATGGTGATTAATGTTATAATGAAATCCACGCACAAGATAGTCTGTACAGGAATTGCCCACACAGATACCAAGGTGTGATTTTCCCATGTGAAGAGATTCCCACTCGGATAGACTCCTGACAACACAAGTGACGTCAGACGTTTTTCAGTGTTTATAGTCCTCGCAGACCTGTCTGTTGATATTTCTATCATATTATGTGCAAATATTCCAAACTATCAGTAGTTACCAATTGTATACCAGTAATTTAATCATGTATTTCTTTCAGAGTAGAATTGGCAAAACGTGTATATTCAAAAGATTTTTTTCTTTGAAAGCCCGTTTCATTGTGACAAATTTCATAGATCTGAGGAATTAACGACTAGCTAATCTCATTTCATCTATTTTCCGTCATGTCACCCTGTAATTTTTTCCTGTGGTGTCGTTAAAATGTGGAATCTTTCATACCATATCACTTAATGCTCGCCAAACAATGATGTCATTTTGCTTGTTATTATGTCCGTTGGTTCCACAGGGACTTGGCACGAATTCCCAACCCACAATTCATATACATACAGTATATATGTATTATAGTATTTGATATACATATATGGACTGTGGGTTAGGAATTCGTGTCAAGTTTCACTTGTTTATGTTCTCATTTGGGAACGTGGCATTACTTGGATTGAAAAGAAAACAAAATGACCCGCTAAGCGAATGTCGTCAAAGAATCAAAAGATGCTTGCCCTTCTTGAATACCTAGTTTTATTCTCCGTGTACTATTTTAGAAGTCTTCGTCTAAATGTACTTTTGCATTTCATTTTAGTATAAGTAAAGATACAAACATCCAAGGTCTTATAACAGTAACTACCGGTCAAAAGTCAAATCGTATGGTCAACAATACTCATCATTGTGACACGTTTTATTAACACAACTTATTGCAGTTTTGATCAACAAAAGTTGGAGTGCGTTGCCGAATAAAAAAATGACTGAAATCATCAATAGATTTTACTGTTTTTGCATTTAATTTCGTCTTGAATTCTTTTTTAAAAAATGAAAGTATCCATCAATGTGAAATAAATATTTGAAAACTGTTGATATTGGTTTTTGGTGTCAATAAATGTGTATAAAGTTACAGTTCTTACAGAAACATTGTCGGTAGAAGTGTACTGTACATCGACAAGCTTCACTTTAATTATTTGCCGACCTTTATAACAATAATGTCACATGATAAAGGGTACCACATTAAGAGTACCTTAGGAACTGAAAATCGTCTTTGCCCAGATGAGCCGTAACCTTGTGAAGCTGGTCAATGCTGAGTAGACCTCTATCCACAATGTTTTAGTATTGAGTGACTCCCAATACACCTTTCCGTATCAATCCTCCAGTGATCAATCTACCAGAGGATCCCCCCGCTCCCCCAAGAGTAGTTCTCTTCACTTTCTTGCCTAAAACTTTCAATAATCGGAATAATTCAGCATTCAGAGTCTCCTCGAGACGGACCTATAGTATGAACATTAGTACCTATACTCCTGATTAAAGAATTGTTGGAAGAATGTTTTTTTTATTAATATTTTTTGTATGTTTTATATATATATTTACACATTTTACACATATTTTCATTCCTTTGTATATATTTTTATATAACTGATCAGTGTTGGTGAAAACTGATTTATTGTATTGGAAAGGATTTTCTATTCCTGATACCAATGACCTTGACATAAAATGACATTTTAAAAGCAGTTTAACAGTAACAAGTGCAGTCATTTAAGAAAGCAGTAATCAAAGTTTGTGTTTGCTGGGTTGGTCTTGGGGCTCAGTGTGAAGTCATTGTGTGAAACAGTTTTCCTATACATAGTAAAAGTTAACTTGACCTTTAACCTTTCACATCAAAAAGCAATCATATAATATAATAGAGTTTTGGCATTATTATTTACAGTCAGTGTTTGAATTCAAAATTGACTCTTTACAAGGATGTAAATGAAAGATCATCTTCATTTGATTTGAAACACATTTCAAATTCATCATAGGAAACTTCATCTAAATTGGCCTAGCATACTATATGGACTTTTCTAAGGGTTGCCTCTAAGGGTTCAAAATTTAGGCACTTATTAATAAGAATCGATGAAGTCGTGAAAGGAAAAAACACTTGTAAAGATGCAGTTTAATTCTTTTTTGTCTTTCAGGTGTCTACTTCTACATTTATATTGAAAGATGTTATTCATGTGTGTCTTTTGTTCACTATTTACAACAAAAGACACATGTACGATGGCCAACAGATAAGGAGCTCCAAAACTGCAACTGTTCACATAAGGGTGTAAAAGAAAAAAAACCCAAAAATTATTAAGATTGTTAAACAAATAATATTTATTCACATCTTCAAACTTTCACAAAATACCTTAGTAATGTCATTCATTTACACATACAATATCCATCTTTGATGTGCTACGTTGGAAATCATTCAGGGTCTTTCCTAAAACCACACTGAAATAGAATTCATATTTGATTTCTCAATTACTGAACTCAGTATTCTAATATAATTGTATCATGTTGTAACATGTTCAATGTCTCTATTCTTTGGAGGATTCCATTGAGCGAACAACATTCTCTAACCCTGCTTGGTACTCTTCTGGGCTTAACGTGTAATTGTTTGCTGGTGCTTCTCCGTTCAGGTCCCAAAATTTTTTCGTCTCTATATCATTGACAACTGTGTTAATAGCTGAATCAATATACCGCACCTCCTGTTAAAGAGAAAACTTTCCATTTCACATATTAATTAGAACAGTACTTACCTTGGGTCATGACTATGATGATTGAAGGGACAGAAAATTTGACAGTTGTAAACACATTTCCATCAATACATGGACTGTTTGACTGTAAATGTTAACCAAATTTTGAACATTATTTTACAATTTCATCAATTAAACTGGTACTATCTATTTACTGCAGATGTAATGTTTCAAGGATCACACTGACACCATTAACCAGTTTTGAAGTTGCAGTGTTGATCAGTATTTAAGTTAATTGACGACATCCTGTTTTGAGATCAAACACTAGCTCTGTGTGTGAGTTAATTGGGGAAGCACTAGTTCTAGTCTCTCAATACGATACCGATGCTCCCTCCCCATTTTCTAAGTATAAATGATTGATGTATTGATTGTATTGATTTTTTTAGAATGAAAGACCATATTAAGGTAATATAAAAAAAAACAGTTTCTTGGCTTATGAAACACTTATCGATGTATATGAAATTTGTACATTGAATATCTGACATTTGTTAATAGATATCAAAAGTCAATAAAGCACATTGCTTCAAATATTATGTGTGTGTTGGGATTAAAAGATTTTATAGAACCTTAGGCTCAGATGCGCTGAAAAAATGCTAATCTTTTAACTAAGATGAGGTGTACTTTTTATTAAAGTATGTGATCATATATTATAGTCTGAATATATGCTCAGGTTATGAATTTAAGAAATTTCAGTTGCATGAAAAGATCTGAATTCTAAAGCAAGAACAATTTGTAAGTACTTATCATGCACTGGCACAGATCATTGATTAACTACTGGTAATGTTTAACAGTGCACGAAAACATACATGAATAGCAACTGTCATAATTAAGTTACATGTTCAAATTTTCCAAACCCCATCTAGACTACCTCATCATCCAGTGCAGTTGCATGTACACTTTCACTGGTGTTATCACTATCATGTCGTGTATAATGTCTATTCTTCTACATACAAAAGCATTTCAGTGGGTGTACTTAAACAATGAACAAAAACTTACAGAAAGAGGAAATGTTTACCTTACAAAGTACCACCTTGTGAGTAGAGAATCTTGTGAATAATTGCTATGGGGATGTAATTTTCAATCCGTTGCTATGGGGATGTAATTTTCAATCCGTTGCTATGGGGTGGGGATGTAATTTTCAATCCAAGATTTGTTAACAACTACCTAAATTCTAAATTTAATATGAAACTTTTCTTTAATGGCACATTTCTTACCTGATTAAATTGTGTGCGCTTTCAAATCCCATAACTGGCATATAAAACTATTGCTAAAAGTATTTAAATGCTGGTATTTATCTTAATCACAGTTTAGATACTTTTGACACACATTTTGATGTCGGGATTGAATATTACAGTTTGAATATATAATAACACCAGGGCTGCATAGCGATCAAAACATGCCGATGGTTTATTCGTAAGAATAAACATAAGCACTAGTTCTTGGATGTTGATAATCATGTATTTAGTTATTGTGTTTACCACATTCTAAGGATCTTGATTGAATACCCTGTGGGATCTGTCCAGGAAAATAACCGCAATCTAAGACCTCAAGAGTGTTGGTTCTCCAGTATATCTATTTCTCATAGTTTGAATAAATGATACACTAGTTGGTTGCCTGTCAACTGATTAACATGGCATGATTGACAAATACTTATCAACTTCAATTATAATATCACAATCAGTACCCGATGATAGTTATCAGACAAATATACTTGATATTTTTAAGACCTAAGATCAGAGATTTCATCTTTATATGACCCAGGACAAATACTATTGCAATGAATAAGATCCTAGAAAATAATTTTAACATCTATTTGAGAATTAAATGTTTAGAAAACGACTTACCTCGCCAGAACGAACCCAAAGTTTTCTGCTCAAAACAGTCTTGCTGCCACTTTTCGAAAGAGCCCTGTTTATTCTGAACTGCCTTTCCCGCTGGATATTGCTTGGAAGTCTTTGGACACTTTCGTTCAGAACTCCTGGGCCGTAAAAGTTTCTCTTTGTGCAGTCATCTCTGTACACACCTAAAAACCAAAGCAATACTGATGCTAAAAACTATTAATTCAAAACTAAAAGAACTGCTCAGAAACAACAAAATGCCAGTGACAAGGACATAAACATTCAGGTCCCCCACTGTAGAAGCTCAAGTCACAGACAAGACCATATGATGGATATTGTTGTTTTCAGAACAGCTATCAGTATATAATATTTAATGTGGATATAGACATTTGTAAATGTCTTTCATTGTCTAAATAAGTTTCATGTTATGTTTGTATATGTATGAACATTTCCAAATTGTAAGCTGTTGTTATTTATTGAAGTCCAATATAGAGAATCATTCATTAAATGTCAGCTCAATATCAAGTGATGTCTTACTAAAAATATCTAATATCCCATGCTTTCTGAAAATGACATGCATTGCATACAACGTATTTCTGTACATATATTTGGACACAATTCGGGTAGTAATTTCCAAATAAGTAAGACAATTTGATGTTGTCTAAATCTATTCCACTTTTAGAAACAACCATCATGAATGATCACATACCCTACAGATGAGAGACAAAGTGGTTAGAAAGCAATAAGATACTTTAAATTAACAAGAGGCCCATAGGTCTTAAAAGTCATCTGACTACAAAGACCTACATATTAAAGAGACCACAAATGCCTAAAATAAATTGCTCCACTCCACTACAGCTTACATAGAAGACATTGCTGGTTCATCAAGACATTTTCTTTTGCAAACTTGAAATCATATTCTTTACACCACACATATTGCTTGTTGAAAAAAAACAAGCTACAGGCTTAATATCAAGACCCATGGCCTTTAGCGTTATTGAGAAGAAGTTGCTTAAGCATTCCATCACATTTGACCCCGTGATCTTGTAATTTTGTCCAATATCAGCACCCTAGGCTTTTTGGTTTTTGAAAAGAAGTAATTTAAAGATCTTGACGTATTTGATGCCTGTGACCTTGAAAGCCAGTCAAGGTCATTCATATTAACAAACTTGGTAGCCCTACATCCTAGCATACTACCTAGCCCATATCAGCAACCTGGGCTTTTTGGTAATTGAGAAAAAGTCATTTGAAGATTTTAACATACCATATTAGACCCTTGTTATCTTTCAAGCAGATCAAGGTCATTCATAATTAGTAGGGATTGAATCATTTTTTTGAGTTTAAGAATTGAATCCCAACTGTCCATGACTTTTTAGTCAAAATCTGGTCAAAATACATTCAAATATTTAGATAGTATTTTGAAGCAAAATCTTGCCTAACTACCCCTTCTGGGACCCCACCCCTAAGTCCCTTGGGGTCAAACCAACTTTCTATATTTAATAAATATTCTCCATCCCCAATAATGTTTCAGACCAAATTTGGTTGAAATCCATTCCTGCATTAAGAAAGGGTAGCATTTTGGAGCAAATTATTGTCTTCCTTTCCCATTTGAGACTTTATTCAAGTGTAAAGAAAGCATACCATTTTGAGACAAAATATTGTCTAATTTCCCCTTAGGGGATCCCATCCCAAAGTCTGTGGAGGTCAAATCAATTTTCTGAATTAAGAAATGATTTCCCACTCTCAATGATTTGGTTGAAATCTATTTAAGTCTTTAAAAGGAGTAGCATTTTGAAGCAAAATATTGTCTAATTTACCTGTTTGGAACCCCAGCCCCCAAAACCCTCGGGTTCAACTGAACTTTCTGAATTAAGAAATGAGTTCCCACTCTCAATGATGTTTCAGATCACACTTGAATTCGAATAAACATTCTCAATTTAAGAAATTATTACCCCCACCCATCGATGCATTGGACCAAATTTGTTTGAAATCCCAATGATATGAAGGAAGGGTATGGTTTTAAAGAAAAAAATTTCACACGGCTAATGACACACAACAAAGCATGATGGCTATAGGTCATCTTGACTCTTCGGGTATAAATTGTTGGTGATGATCTGAGTCATCTCAATGATATTGTTAATATGCTACTCTCTTTGAAATTGTTTTAAATGATCTACTGAATTTATCACAAATATTCAGAAAATTGCAATTTGCAAAGTCACACAAAAAAGCTAATATTGAAAAAAGATATCTTTATTGTTATGATCAATAACTGTTAATCACTTAAGATTACACAAATACTTTATTTCCCAAACTCACCTTTGCAGACATATTTGTTAATACATTTTTTGTGAACGTTGAGCTAAAAATTGACCAAATTCGCAAATGAGCTAGCTATCAGACATAGGCTCTGAAAAACTCACATATCGGCAACTGATAGCTTCATATTAGCTGGCATTATGCTTATAAGTCACGTGACTATACCTGAAAAGTGACTTAGTCATGTGTGTTGTATTTACTGGAGTACAGACCAGTATATTGATGAAAGAAATGAACATGAACACCCCACAATTGGCAAAGACGTATTGTGCAGTGTTTAACATTGTGCTTTGTGATGTGTTTATACTAATCATATAGTAGTCATCCAAGCAGTCATGAATTTGACCGTTTTCCTACTATTTATTTTGTAATGTAATAAAATAGATATTTCACATGTTAATATCTGCTATTGTGAACATCTTATCACCTTCCAACACAAATAGAAAATCGGGAATTGACAGTCTTATCTGTTGATTTTGAAAGGAATATATGTCAAGCAGGCTTGTTTGTATGATTATACCATATATATACATAATTCGACAGAAGTGTATATGTAAATAAAAGTAAGTTAACAACAGATTAACAAGGATGTCATCAAGAGATTTGTACAAATAATCACAAGAGATTTGAATTTGCGATTGGCTTTTCTTGCATATTAAAGCAAAAATAAACACCAAGCAAAATATCAGTAATTTACAGTAACTAAAGCTTCTGTGATTAATCTTTTTTCCTTTTTTTTTCCTTTCTAAAAACACGAAAGAAATCTGACCCTTAACCTTGGTCTTTGGTTTCCTAAGAGTTCTGATACTAAAACGGCCTTGTTTACAGGAGAGCTTGTCAGACTACAAAACTTGACTTTGTTTACATGACAGGTCAGACTCAAACCTTTACCATCATTGTTAAGAGCAGTAACACTCTAAACCTTGAATTTTCTTTAAAAGAGAGGCGTTGGTTTTCAAGAGGGGTCAAACCCTAACAGAATACTTTTGCTTCCAAGAAACCTCAGACCATTTACATCCAGGACTAATGTTTTTCATACAAGACTCAATAAGATTTTAAAAACCAGCTATATCTCTGTGTAACCACATTCATCAAAATAATGAAAAATGGTGCTCTTGACTCCCTAGAAAAAAATCCCAAAACAATTATTGAAACTTGACCTCTGCTAAATTGTTGATATGAAATTAACCCCTAATTAACTATGGAAGTTCGAAACCAAATTTTACCAATATCACTTCAAATACATCTTCCAATTAGGAAGGATTTTAAACCTCTATTTTCCATATTAGACCCATCACTTCTGCAATAGGCCTGCTCACTCTCATTCAGGTGGTCTTCACTTAGAAGTTGAAGGATGCACTGATAATGGAGGAACCAGGAGATAGGTGACAGAAAACATTATACTGCATCGCATGAAAATTGATGGGCTGATACTCAAGATTAGGAGTTAAAAACTTACCAAGCTGAGGATAGTACATGAATTTACTATATATTTTTCGTATTCTGCGAGGAGGAGTTCCAACAGCCACAATAAAGTTCTTTGTCTTCTGTACAAGACTACTTTCCTTGGATTTCACAACCAAAGATGCAATGCGTGCTACAATTGAAAAATAAAAGGTTACTAAATTCATGCACAATATAAAATTTAAGAGAGTAGATGAATCATGGCGCCCAGATTTTCTTTGTTCTCGGTTCTATTTTAGCACTCCTCTTTCATGAGTATTCTTTCCGCCTTAAAGATGTTACTTAAAATGACTGTTGTGATATTGCATGAATCATGAATCACTTGCAATTATTTTCAATAAATAACAAGTATTGATTATCACATATTTATCAAAATAATTCAAAATTGGTTGACTTTCTTATTAGTACACTTAATATATAAATACAAATCTATATATATTGTGTATTTAAAAAAAAATATTATTTTGTTGGTCTTAATCAATATTTCTCATCAATTTACAATGGAAAAAAATATATAATTCAATTGTTAAAATTTTATAAATTTAGTAATTTTGTTTTCACTCAATATAAAGTCAGTTACAAAAACAATCTAATCTGCATTAACACCTAGAAATATGCAGCTAACCCAATATGATTTCATCCTTGTGAGTGTGAATATATACTTACAGACTGCACTGGTACTCATCTTCAGCTCTGTTATCTGAAAAGTCAACATAAATCATGTTTATTAACAGAGTTTTATGCATACATACTAATTCAGCTGCTAAAAATTAGTTTATAGTGATTTTTGGGACTTAGATATCAGAGTCCCAGACTTGAGCTTTTCAGTGGGGCACACCAAAAATTTAAGAGCTAAATATATCTCGATGCGATGGAATTTCACAGAATTTTGGAAAAAGTGCATGTGGTCTCCACTTTCCTACAAAACAAAATAGTAGAAAATACTGAGTTAATGTGAAATAGAACCAACAGCATTTCAAAATGCCAACTAGTATATGACCTTTCAGGGCTCTCACACCCCATTTTGGGACTGGGGCCCGAGGCCCTTAGAATTGGGGAAAAATAGCAGTGTTTTCCTTAGAATTGGGAAAACTTGGGGTCTAAATTGGGAAAAAAGATACTGCATTGGGAATGGGGCCGAATATCGGCCCAAAATCTGGCAGATCGAAAGCCCTGCCTTTAGATGGAAGCTCAAAGATCGAAACAAATGCATAGTCAGATGGTCATGAGTGATGTACAGAATCTTGCCACAGGTTTTGACACCCAGTAAATGTTTAAACCTTATGCAATATTCCCTCTTTTATCTTTTTTCTTGGTAATGGACCAAACTCTCTAGATTGATATTCTTGCTAGGTAATGTCTTTAAAATGAAATGATGCCGATATTTACAACATGAACACTCCAGCTAAGCCTCTTATTTCATTGTGTTTTTTCGTACACTAACTTGTAGTGGGCTCTACTTTACATCAGACTCAGAGTCAAGAGATTTGATTAAAGCTTAATTTGCTCTTAATCTTATTGTCAGATATTACGGTGTCTCTGTGTTCCAATACCTGCATGTTTAATCACCAAAACCAAAGATTTCTAAATGGCAAAATCACAAATAGGGGGAAATGCTAATAATATGTGAAATTAAATGATCATTTTACTCAATGAGATGAGAGAATGGTTTGAAGATTCAATGTTGTAACAGCCTCTCAATTCATGTTCCCTCATCGGATTCCTAAGACGAAGTATCCAGCCATTTCACGAGAAATTGTGAGTAGATTTTCAAGTATAAACACTTTTTAATGTTCATTACAAACTTCTTTATCAAACAGACTAGTATAGCCGACGAGTGTTCGAGAAATAAATGTGTTTCTTACCCGATGCGAGTCCCACCTTGGTGACCTTGAGTGTGTTCTCACCTAGACGCTTGAAACCTGTCAAACATACAGGTGACACAGACTTGAGCACAGGCGCACGAGAATCTCTAAAGGACAATTTCAAAAATATTATTTACATGTATATCAAGCAAAGCGGCGAAAACATTGTCAGATATGTCATTTTCCTGCAATTGCAAAGAACAAATTTATGGTTTACTTGACGTATAGAAGCGTGAATTGTCCTTTTTATTTATCTTCGGATGCATGCATATATCAAGTGCCTGTGATGGGAGGGGGTAGAGTTTAGAATTATTTCCCTTTAACTTGTATGGCTTATACAATCTGAATTTAAGCAGTCGTTGAATATAGAAAAAAAATATGGTTGATTTTCTATAGGAATAGAAAGTATTGTATTTTGAAATGCCTTTACTACTGGAATCAAAGAAGGCCAATGAATATTGTCGATTTTTTAAAATTCTTACACACTATACATGCATTAGTCCATAATCTTGTTACTGTTTTAGTGCCAAATGCGAAGATAGTCAGGATTTTCAGAAAAAAGTACAGGGTTCATATTGTTTTATTATAACATGAGCGAAGCGACGAAGATCGTCTCGATAAATGGGTGCGAAGTGAGTAAAACTATCAGAAAAAAAGAGAAAAAATGAATGAAAGAAAGAAGGAAAACGTTTTAGATTTAATACATTACAAATATCTATAGTCACATCATTCATGAATCGCATCAAACTCTTTCTGACCCCAGCTGACTCATGATGTATTTACATGTACTTTTTAACAACATTTAAATTGTTCCCGGTTCAATTTCCGTCACATTTTATTATTAACTGTACACTGTCATATTTGCCTCATATTGTTATTTCATAACTGTTCTACCAATTTTGTTACTTCTGGAAAATGAAGACAATATCGCAAAATTGTGAACAGACTTCGAGTCGTAAATAAAGATATTGATTATATTCTAATCTGTAGCCATGATCGGTTTTACAATTTGGTTTCATATCTAAAATAAATACAGAGAAAATACTGAAAACATTATATTCCATTCAGCATATGAAATGTTCTGTATAATCATGGACGTATAATTCAGAATCTGTATTATACGTCCCTGGTTTAATCTAACGAATCTGCTGGGCCAGGGTAACAATCCGGAATTCTCTTGTGCCTGTCTGTTGACGAGTTCGTTTTATTAGACAACTATTTGAACATCCTGTAAAGTCTCGCGCGGAAATCTAAACATAACATTCGACACTTATGGACGATCCGAAATGCCGTTGATGAAAAGATAAATGTTGACAGCTTCCTTTGCTACAGAGAAATGTGTAAGTTGTGTGATAATGCAATGGACTCACCCAGTTCTTAGCCAGAGACTGTAATGTCAGATAAAGGTCCCTGTCTTTATCAGTGACAGTTCGACCGTAGTCTGAATTATTTTGACATTGTATGAACTTTTAATTGTATACCGATTTGGAATCGATAGAACGTCAAAGTATTTCGGAATTTACCGACCCGTATAACTGAAATCCCTGCAGATAGGACTTAAACTGATAGGAGAGACATCTATGACCAGCACAGTGTTATACGTCTATGCTGATACTAACTAAGAGTAAGAGGCGACTGAACTTGCAATCTTTGTTTTCCCTTGTTTCTAAAGACATTTCGTCTTCCTGACATATCCACTGACACTACCTCACTTTTGGCCTTTATTTGAACATTCGCCAGTGGAAGGAAGGCTTTGAGTTTTGTCTCCTTGCCTAGACGACATACTATGACCAGAGTCTTTAAAAATGGTATTAGTATTACTTCTTCCAACTTATCAGTTTTGGTAGTGTAACAACTGGTTTGTCAGCGTAATGTGACCAAGAGGGTGTCCTGTTGGAAGCCTTTAGTAGTATACTTTAGACTCAGTGATGTAGAAGTGTAATGTTAGCTATACTTATCATAAGAGGCTAGGCTAAAGTGGACATCACAGCCTCCCAAAAGAACACATGCATGCAACTCCTACATTGGGACGCCATCTTTCAATGGACCTAGTTACTGATAGAACGTTAAGCAATATAAATCAAACTAAAATGCTTATCATACTTCTAAACATATAAGAAGTCTAAGTCTACCTGATTTCATTGGAGGATGTCACATGGCACTTATCATTGCATATGTAAGCTTGTACATTGTATATGCCACCCAGCATGTACAGTAGGTCTAAAGCCTTTATCCATGTACCTGGTATTTGATGAGTGACAATTACACATACTGCTTTGAGTAATAAAGCATATAATTCTTTTAATATAAACTTTATTTTTATTCCATAACAACATGCGAATAATACATAGCAAAGTATACATAGGAATTAGAATTGGAAACATGTTAAATAACTTGTATAAATCCTTTTCCATAATTCTTTTAAAGTAACATCATGATAAAACTTTTTTTCCTTACAGATTTCTTTATCATATATAACTAATATATTAATTTATGAACAATGACAGTTGGTTTTCAATGAAATATGCACAGAAGGAGATTAATCAATAATTACGAAAAAGAAATCTGTATCTATTGATCAACAGTCTGGATATGTAAATGTTTGTGTCATATATCTGATAAAGCATCGGCATAAAACACTGGCAGCTGTAAACAGAAATGGCTTCCTACCCACATCAGTTTGTGTTTCTCTGGAAGCTGAGAAATGCACTGGTCTGTGTTAACACTTATGTGACGGGTCTTCCGTACATTGAATCAGTGAGGTAACCATGTCACCAGCTTCTCCAAGGAGACACTGCCTCAAAATAACCCTGGCTGTACATCTTCACAGGGCAAGAAATCCAACAAACCAACAAACTGACTATATAATTCTCGCTTTGCCAAAATCAAAATTTCAGATGCACTTGAAAATCTAGAGCAACTCCAGGACAGGGAGGAATCCAGAGACAGGGTCACATTTAAAAATGAGGCTGTGAAGACTGTCAGGAAAATCTTACAGCTTAAACAGCAGAAAGACAGGCTGCTACAACAGGAAAATGAACTTGATACACAGGTCCAAATGATAAGATGAAATATTATATATATCTGGGCAGTGTAATATTTTGTTTGTTTGATATTTTTATATGAAAAAAGTAAAGAAAAGAAGATGATTGAAAAAAAAGATAAGGTTTCCTGATCATTGTTTGTCAGTTGTCATGCTTTAATGTTTTGTTGTAAACATGATAACTTAAGTAAATATCAAATGATTTTGATGACACTTGGTATGCAGGCTCATATCGATAAGATCTTGATGGAATTTGACAGTGGAACAATTTGATGGTAATATACAGAGTGGCGGTTCTTTAAGGCATTGTTCCCACTGGACTTTGTTAACACAATATCTTCAGTGAACCACTTTTTTGATGAGACTTAATATGCAGCCTTATATTATTGAAATCTCAAATGAGCTAATTTAATTGATTCAATAGAAATTTGCAGAGTTCTGGCTCTTGGCAGGTTAATTACCATAGACCTTGTGAACACAATAAATTGAGTTAATATAAACAGATTTTAACGAAACTTAGAAGCCTTATGATAATAAGATCTGACCCGTTGCAATTTGATTGTCATTGGTCTTTGTGAACACAATAATTTGAGTAGATATGAACAGATTTTGATGAAACATATGTAACCCCGGTAAAATACTAGCCGCAATATACCACTCGGCTAGAGAGAACTTCTCTTTAGCTCGATTGGTTGAGCGTCAGACTAGTAAGCCAGGGGTCCCGGGTTCGATTCCTAGCGGAGGCATCATCAGCTTGCCATATATATCAGCAAGATTTTATATGAATTATGCAATGGAACCATTTCAATTGTAATTTGCAGAGTTATGGCCCTTCCCATTTTGATTTTAGTTGAGATCAGTCATGTAACCATTGAGGCCCATGGGTCTCTTGTTATTTAGAGAATTTTAATATTTAAGAATGTGTGTTTCCTGAGGAATAAATTTGCAAAATATGTACATAAAACCATATAAACAATTATCACAAATTATCACTTGTGTGTCTTGTCTTAAGTTACAGCTGTAAATATTGTAAGGAGTATATATAATATCATAATTCATTTCATCTTGATAATGTCACGTGATTGTCTTCAATAATGAAAATCATTTATATACAATACGTAAATCTGTTATAGAGAAATTAATTTGAGAGTTTTGGTTTATTTTTAAGAAACACAGGTTTTAATATGATTATTAGAATCTTATAGTTGTGTCAATGTGATAGGCAAGTGACAAATCAAATTATAGAATTTTTCTAATAAATTCAAGATATTTAATCAAGGTGAGGTATTATAACAAATTGTGTGACGGGTTGCCATAAATAAATTCCACTTTTTATCAAATTATTGATGATCCTTTACACATACTCTGCCCTTGTTTTTAGTATTTTGTTGTAGCAGTATTTTTATGTCCTTGCTACTTCATGGAAAGGGCTTTAGGAAATGAAATTTCCTTATGTTTTCATTACTTACATTACTTTTATTGGATATTTTTTCTTCTTTTTGTAATGAAAATTAGATAGAAGAAGCTGAGTTAAGAAAGCATCAGTGTCAGAAAAGAAGAAACAGTAAAAAGTATCAGGAGGCATTGTCCAAACAAAACAGTCTTCAGCAACTGCTGGACTGCTACAGACTAACAGGTGAGTCTATCAGTTATTGAAAAATAGGATATGTTTGCATACGATTATATAAATCTAATAGAAATTGTTATCATTTCATAGTGAATACAACACTAGTTTGTAAAAATTAGTAATTTGAATTTTGATGTTGTGAAAATTTTGATTTGTAAAACTTTTGGGATTTGAATTTTAATATTATTGAAATGAGAGATTTGAATTTTGATGTAAAATTAGGAAAATCTGGATTTTGGTATTGTTAAATTTTGGATTTGAATTTTGATAATTGTATTTTGTTACAGGTGTATCCTTGCATTCTCAGGAGAAGAAATCCTTTGTCCTGTGTTTTGATAATAATCTCAGATCCAAATTTTACGAATCTTACTATGTAGAATTACTGAAGCGTGATAACGATACTTTAGAACTAAAACACCACAGTTTACCAAAGTTTCTGCCGGTGACCAGTTTGGCTGAAAAGTATCTGAAGGATGACCTTCCAAAATTTGTAACAAAGGTCAGCGATTATCTGTATGCTTACGTCACAAGACGAGAGGAAGTTGTTCATGTACAGGTAAAAAAAATCATGAAGTTAATAATACTATATAAATTGTGCACAGCCTCCACCAATCTAGCTTGCTGCACTACCAAACCCATCAAATGCCACCACTAAATGTGACATGTTTCCAATCATCACAAGGCTACAGCCACCTCTCTTTCAGTCAATTTAGAAATCCCTACTGTACTATTGCCCCCTCAAGCGCTACCACTAGATTGGCACAAATCCAATCACCACAAGGCTACAACCACCACTAATCCAGCCAACACAGCCATCCTTACTGCATTCCCCCACTCCCCTCCTAAAACACAACCACTTAATTTGGCACATATCCAATCACCATAAAACTAAGGTCACCACTAAATGTAGAACCTATGGAATCAACAAAAATTACATTTATTGTCGCCACTTATGACATCTCTTCAATCTTGTGTCAATTGAAATTGTGTTGTAGTCATAGTTTGGCTAGTTTACATGTATCTGTATTGCTTCTCTTCATGTGGTTCTCTGCCTTAGGGTTGGATCCAAGAAAAGAACAAACTACAGGTGACAATGACTGATGCTGTGGACTTTGTACAGTTATCCTTAGGAGAACTAACGTCTCATTTGTCCATCAAGGTGACCTTGACCTATCAGGATCTACTTGATGTCAGGCCAACACGAGTAACCTTCCATACCTTCATAGGTAAAACATTTATAATCTTAAGTAATGGGGCTGTAATATGTCAGTTTGTAGAAGATAGGATTGGGTGTAGGGATTCTTAACCAGGTTAGTGTTTCCTGTCTGTCATGGCTGTATACAAGGCAATTAGTCCAGTAAACAAACAAATCGTCTTATTGTCATGAATTGACTAATGCCCTATCAGTTCTTACAAGATAATCCTAGGCTTCCACATACTGCAAAAGCTTGTGAGTACGACATATTTGTGAATATCTTCAGTTTCTAGATGTCTTTCAATTGGTCAGACACAAGGATCTACTGTTGATTAGGAAAAGACCAGTATACCCAAAAAATACTTCTTTATTATGTAATTTGCCTTACATGATTATTTCTCTCATAAAGGCGTAATATAAAATTTCGCCATGTGTTATTAAAATTGAGTCCCTAGAAATTATATCCTGATTTTAAATTAATGTCTTTCCTTATCTCAATATATTATACTTAGTGTATTTTAAGTTGTCAATGAAAGATACATACAACCTGTTATTGACATTCAATTTCTGTTTCTTACAGATGATGGGATGGATTTGCCAGAATGTCTTAAGCTAGATAAGGTCTTGAAGTGGAAGCAGCACTTAAAAATGTTCCCTCTTTCGCAGGCCATGAAACCCATCATTGAGGCATTCAAGTTTGTTGAGCTTGATAATGAGGAGAGGGAGGAAGAAAACAGCTCCTGATAATGAAATCAGAAATCAGTCAGTGTTTTGGTTAAACTGACACTTGTGAAGTAACAAACAATAGTCAGAATTCAAAGTTTCAAGACTATACATCATTATAACAGATATTGTGATAGTCAGAATTCAGAGATCAGTGATGGATGTTGTAAATGTGCTATATCAATATTAGTTGAACTATATAATGATAAAGGATATGGCAAATTAATTCTGCTTGCCTTCTCAAATACCACTTAATCTTGTTTATGGATTGTTTTGCTGATGGAACTGTTAGAAGATGCTGTAAAACCAGTATAAAATATTGTTTTGTAGTGCAATACAAAAATGAAATGCATTAAAAGTAAAAAAAAAAACAAACAAAAAAACAGAGTCATTTGACAGATAAATAGAAAATGAGTTAATGATGAATTGTATTAATTGTTGTATGATATGTCAAAAGATTTTACTGTTGGTAAATCAGTCATAGAAAACAGACATTAGTCAAACAAAAACATAATGAAGCATGTCTTGATATGGCATTTGTGATGTAATAAATGACATCGACCAAAGCAAAAAATTGTTATTGTATATTTGCCTGTAAAACTCTTGCCACTCATAATGACCTTTAGTAGTACCATGAGAAGAGGGATCATTGCTTACATTGACATTCCCTCGTATGATGCTGCCATCCTGTCAATTTAGATATTGAAAAATATGTAAACAAAATAATTTGTTGCCAATGAAAAATATAAGGGTACCTGTACATCAGTGCTCCAGGTTATATCACTGTTAAGTCACAACACTTGCAATATCCAACTTCACTTTTCATTTCTGTCTGCTGGCTCTGTGTGTTGTTTTCCACTCTTTGTGCCCCTCTTGAAAACCATCCTCAATATGACCCTGGCCGTTGGGAAGACATTCAGTGAAAACAACATCAACAAACCAGAAAGAGGTGTGATCAAGATACCATAAATGACGTTTTTTGCATGACCATGGCTCTGGAACAAACTTGCTGCTTCACTTGAAGGAATACATGTGCAAGACCATGATAGGATACTGATATCCAACAACAGTGCTCGGTAAGTGAGCACTGTTTGTATGGGAGAGAAAAGAAGCTGGATCCACATAGTGAGTGTTTAACTTGTCCTCATATGCAAGGTATCACTTACAGATGACAGATAAACATGGCAAAACCAGGTCTTTGAGGAGATAGCTGCAAGCTTTGATTGCACTTGACTAAATTGGCCAAGTTTGAAAGGACCAAAATTCATCAATTTTTTTTAAAAATCTGGAGCAGGGAGGAAGGGCAGCATGGAAGCAAGTGGGATGTTAGCAACATCAATAATGCAGACATCCAGCATGGTTTCAACGCCACCCAGGCATCATGCTTTGATCCTGCAGTAATTAGCAATGGTACAGCTATCTGTACCATGGGAACAGACAAATGTGTGAAAATGACCAAATTACTAGCGGTTTGGTTTAGTGTATACACAGGAGGGAAGGAGAACTTTGTATCTGTGAAGGTTGGCTGAAGGGGGCTCCCTGTCCATCATTTGAGAGAGTCTTACAACTTTATGGGTTGTGGGAACAGACCGGAAGAACTGATGAGGACAGCAACCAGACAGGCAGAGCTGGATATGGGGAAAGGTACCCTACTATTTAATTGGTCAAAAATATCAATTGATTCGGTCACAGACACATGTATGAACTCCTAATAAAAACCAAGCAGAAGACTTGCCAGGTTGGTAATTTCAAGCAGTTAGATATACTTAACCCAGAAGAGTAGAAGAAGAGGTACATAGACTTTATCTAAGACATCATTTGGATGATAATCATGTGATTTCCAGAAAATTTTTAGGTAAGCTTAGTTTTCAATGGACATAAAATATATAGATGACCCTTGAAATTAACAGGATATTGCAGTCATTTATCAAAAATACACTGATTATGATCACCAACTTGAATGGGGAAATAAGGTGATCATCAGTTGCCATTTTGAATTTTGTTTCTGTTTGTCATTGTTAAAAAATGAAAGGTTAAAGGTCAAATTGTAGCCTTGGCCACTGTTGAAATAAAAAAAGCTAGTGTGGAATACGTTTCATGGTCAGATTTAAGTTCTTTTCTTGATAAGATTTTGGTGGTAGCAAGTACATTCATGCTGGAGACATTTTCTAGTTTTGCCATCGCCAGTAGGGGGTCTCACTTCCGCATCATTGGACAATTGCAGTTTTTACTTTTGGAGTTAGTTCCCTTTATTTATCAAGATGTGATGAACATACAGTTTTATATGACTTAAGGTGATTTGTTCTGTATGAAGTCATGTGGAGTATGCCCCTTTTATAAAACTGTGCAAAAGACACATCATCAGTGAATATCATGTTTTTATACAAATTTAGAATTTGATACAGGTAAGCCAAACAATGAATTAAACTACACCATAAAGCTGTTTAGTCCTTCTATGACTCATTAAGGATGAAAAGGGCCTAAATTTTGAAAACGAACAGGTGACTGAAGCAGATCAGACATAGGGGCCATACCCCAAAAAATGTTCTTCCCAGCTCATTTATTTTCTTCCCAAAATGAGGCAAAAATGTCCTATCCACATCAGTTAAAAAACTGATGTTCAATATGGGTTACATACATGCCATATTGCATGGTTAGTTGTTTTCAATTGCAATTTCTCATCAACCAATATGGCTTTTCTTGCGTTGCAAGACACAATATCAAATTAATAAATATAAATATCAATTCAAGTTTTGTATCAAGAATAAAGATCTGGCTTTGGCATATTTAAGGGTTTTTTTATCAGGAGATTCTTGAGTTTCAGCTAAAAGTTGGCATAGGGGATTGATTTTGAGTCGTTAGGAATTGAACGATATTTCAAATCATGCTTGCATTATTTTAATAACATCCTAATGAGATGTTGAAAGTGGGAACTTACATAATGTTTTTCTACATTCTGAAATTTTTTGGAGGAGCATATAGTCGCACCCATGTCCGACCGTTCGCCTGCCCTTTTCGTGTCTGGAGCATAACTGTTCCCCACAGTTCAGCAAGCGTCGTGAAACTTGGTATATAAATTGGTCATACTAAAGTGATGTGCAGTGTACCGAATTTAGGGTCTCGGCCCTTTAATTACAGAGTTATTGCCCTTTGAGAAAAAGAATCATTTCCAGAGCATATCATTGCTTACATACATATATATATACTAGGATAAAGAAACTTGGTGTATACATTGATCATATGATGATAATGTACAGCGTACCAAATTTAGCGACCTTTACAATGTTATTTCCCTTTGTTAATGTGTTGTGTCCAATAAAGCCATTTTCGGGAGGCATTCATCAGTTTCACAGATGCTTTTGTTTTACGTAAGCTGCTACTCTTAGCACTTAGGATGTATAATACTCCTGTTAAAGATATCTGGAAATAAAAATTACGTTAAGTTGATTAAATCCTCACCTTGATGAAAATTATGGTGAATTACAGTTTTACGGTCGTCACTAGTGATCTCATGGAGAAATATCTAATAATTTGTACGATATGTATGTGGACGTGTTTTATGAGCGTTAGATATTCCGTTGTTATATATCTTGTTCTCTTTTGAAAAGACGCATTATACTTACTTAGATGGACCAGGATTTGCATAGCAGTGTTACCATGAAGCAAAAGACGCTTACTCTCCAGAACACCTGGTTTTATTTTTATTGTATTTTTCGGGAGTCTCCGTGTCAATCTAACGCTTGTTCATATTTTGCCTCAGTTTTATTGAATATAAATTTGGATTATGATTCTGTTGACATGTTGGTATTTTCTTTGAATAACAAAAATGTGGCCTTTTTTTCGTTTGATCGAATTGTGAAATCTTTCAATAAGAATTAATAACATAAGACAATCCTCTTGATAGTATGTGGAATGTGAAGGTTAAACAAATTTCCTAAATTTCAGCAAACAATTTTTTTCCGTTTTCATTCAATTTGGGAAGTTGTGCAAATGTTTAACCTCAAATCTTTCCTGAAAACACCCACTTATGGAGGATTCAATATCTTAATTGTTTGTCAGTCGCACTAATTAACCCGCGCGGAAAAACTTTCGTAATTAAGAATTGTGTCACTTTTAGTGTGATAGTTCCTGTTGAACTTTCTGGATGAAATTTTCAGGACCACAGCTGGGAAATATCCCTTTATAAAACCATCGTGTCAACATGAGTATGTGGTACACATTCACAGATGGATAAAAATGGTTTTGATATTTGCTCGTTCTTTTTTCAAATTAACGGTCGCAGAAATCGGTTAATATAGAAGTTATTGTTCAATTTCGACAATGCATTACACCACATTTAGATAAGCACAACTGGGTGATTGTCATTATTAATTTGATTATTTTTTTTTTCATTTTGGTCTCACTAAGGAATATTAGATAAAATTATAGAAGATGAATATATAATTCATACTGTTACTAAGATTACATGGTGTGCAGTATTTTTTACTTTTAAAAAGAAAAACGGAGAAACGTCATTCATCAGTTTCAAGTTAAAAGTGTCTTTTCTGTCTGTTTGATAGTTCAGTGTTTTATTTCTTTGCAAATCTGTGTAGTATTTTAGTTGATGTTATATTATGCTGCAAATTTCATCCATCGTTGCACAAGTGGGAGATGTTACACTTTAAAAGTGATTTTAGTAGGTGATTTTCTGGGTTTTGTAAAAGGTCAAAAACGTATTTTCTGGAGATTTGGTGACATAATCCTAGGTATAATTGGAAATAAAACCCCGCCACTCAAAAAATAAAAAAAAAAAAACCTCTGTTGTAATTATTTTGATTTAGTTTACGGGTATTTCTTTTTAAAAGAAATGGTATGACTGTAGGCGCATTTACCACACAGGGGATTTTGATTTCTAGTCAGTGCTCGGACCAATATTATTCGTAATTTTTGTGAACGACCTACCAGATAAAGTCAAGTCATCAATTTTCTTATTTGCAGACGATACAAAGATATTCAATGTTATAACTAGTGAGGAAGATACCAAGATACTTCAGGAGGACCTTATCAATATGGAAAAGTGGAGCAAAAAATGGTTACTGGAAGTGCATCCTCAAAAATGTAAATACATGCATGTTGGTAAGCCTAATCTGAGTGAAACCATATATACATTGAACAATACAGTGCTGGAGAATTCTGAATGTGAAAAAGACATTGGTATCAAAGTAGACTCAAACCTATCGTTTGAAGATCATATAAGTGAGAAAGTCAATAAAGCCAATTCCATGTTTGCCATGCTTCGGAGAACTTTTAACTTTATGGACAAAAAATCATTCCTACCACTTTATAAAACCCTAGTGAGAACGCATCTAGACTTCGCTAGCTCGGTATGGTTACCTTATAAAATAAAAGATATTGAGAGAATTGAAGGAGTGCAGAGAAGGGCAACAAAACAACTTCCAGGCCTTAAAAACTTATCTTACGAGGACAGACTAAAAGAATTAGGATTACCAACCCTCGCTTACCGCAGGACAAGAGGAGACATGATCGAGACATACAAGCTAATGAGTGGAATATATGATAAAAATACAAACAACATACTTATAAGCTGGAGCAGCGCTGCAAGCAGGAGTAGCAACAGGACAAACTCAAACAAGATCTACCCCCAGAGAGCTAGAACAAAACTTAGGCAACATTACTTCTCTCATAGAGTATGGAAAGTATGGAACAACCTACCAGAATATGTAGTCAACGCACCCAACACTAACACATTCAAAAATCGCCTGGATAAACAATGGAAACACCAGGAGCTGTATTACAGCTACAGAGCAGATATAAAAAAGAATGGAAGTGACAGAACTACATTGATTAACAACAACGAGTCCGGTGAAGAGGAATTTTAATTCCTGTACTGGAAATCAACTATAAGTAACTATAAGTAAGTAATTTTAGCATGGAGTTGCTCCCCCTTGTAACGCCTTCTTCAACGTAAACAAAAATCACATGGCTACTGTCAGCTGATCCAGCAACAAAGTGAGGATGATGGGAAACAGTATTGTTCGGAAGTATATTTAGAGTTGACAACTGGTTCAGCTGTGAAAATGAAATATACTTGATATATTTGAAGGAAAAAAATAGCAGGTTATTTCGGTGATTTCAAAAGTAAAATGGAGAGAGAAGACGAGAAGAAACCATTGCTTGGTGAGAGGACAGGAAGTATACAAGGGGAACAGCACTCCCCTCCTCGAGGTAAATATAAACACCCATTAACCTATCTACATGTTTATCTTATGTTCGACCACTTTACCTGTTCGACCCAAATTATTTCATATCGAACTTGTCAAGACACAGAAATCGGACGTTCTATAAGTGAAATATATATTACTGCAAAATAGTTGTAATCAAACCTTTGGTATTGTCTACTGATGTGTATTGTGACCCCCGATCATAGTCAGTAGGTAACTAGCATATTTAGACATCTTCGTGTTGTTTGACCTAAATTGATAAGATTTGTATACTACAAATGTATTGTTAAGCCGTGTAGTAATTATATGTCTAAGGACTCTAAAAAATTAATTAAGTGCTGTCAGGGATGTAACACTTCTTCTCTATAACATTGCAAAAAGATACATGCTATTTCGTATCCCTCTGTATTATACGACCCTAGTAAGGTCTTTACATGTACATGAATATATATCTATGTGCGTGACTATATTGTTAATATTTACATCCTATCAGCTACCAAGACAATTTGTGTTACAGATCAAGAGTATTTACAAATCATGGTTAGATGATTTTTTTTGTTAAGAATCTCATGAGCTACAAAAGAACTAGGTTAGAATATTTTTCTCCCAAACCCCGAACAGGAATCAAACATGAAATGCTATAAAGAAATGTTATATTCCACCAATTGATTGAATAATAGAGATTGAGACCACAGACTTAGTTAACTCTACATATATGTACACATTGTATGCATGTACTTTGTATAGCTAAAGTTGTCTCTTAAAATATGATACATGTATACACTCAGGGACGTATGTATTAAACGTCCCTGATACACTGTAAGTGGATGTTGTAATGATGCATTTAGAACTTTCCTGCAACTCTAGCTTTTATGAATTATCTGTTGTATTACACCTGTTGCTTTGATTAAGTTTATTGTCCTTAAAACTTCTGTTAAGATATATATAGTACTAAACATGTAAGCAGTAAATTAACAGGTAGAACATATACGTATATTAAGGATATAAGCTAGAATTGCCAACCTACTTCCTTAAAGCTGACAAGCTAACTATCTACCACGCCCCTTCAAGGACAAAAGATGCCCGCTTGGATGATTGGTTTGTAGTCCTTTGTTTGATCCTCCTCTATTAGTAGTGATGTTATTCTATTAGTTATTATGTTATTCTGCTTTATTATGATTCCTCAAAGTCAAGTTACTCTCAGTAAACCCGAGTTCCCAGGCTTGTTATATAGTGAAGATTGAAAAATGATCATGATAATTGCAATAATTTGAGATGTCTGAAAAAATGGACTTCTTTTTTACTTTCTTATCCTACGACAAAACTCCAGTGATCATCAAGCAGATTTAATGACTCAAAGTCAAGCTGAGAGACTAGCTTATTGCAACCTTTGTCCATTATTCTATTAGTAGTGATGCTATTCTACTAGTTATTATGTTATTCTATTAGTTATTCTACTAGTTATTATGTTATTCTACTAGTTATTCTATTAGTTATTTTGTTATTCTATTAGTTATTATGTTATTCTACTAGTAGTGTTATTCTGTTATTCTATTTAGTTATTCTATTAGTTATTTCTGTTATTTCTAGTTATTAGTTATTCTATTAGTTATTCTACTAGTTATTCTGTTATTCTATTAGTTATAGTTATTCTAGTTATTCTACTAGTGTTATTCTATTAGTTATTGTTATTCTATTAGTTATTATGTTATTCTATTAGTTAGTTATTTCTATTAGTTATTAGTTATTTATGTTATTCTATTAGTTATTATTAGTTTCTACTAGTTATTCTGTTATTCTATTAGTTATTCTACTAGTTATTATGTTATTATATTAGTTATTCTACTAGTTATTATGTAATTCTACTAGTGATTCTGTTATTCTATTAGTTATTCTATGTTATTCTATTAGTTATGATTCTAGTTATTCTACTAGTTATTATGTTATTAGTTGTTATGTTATTCTTAGTTATTCTGTTATTCTACTAGTGATTCTGTTATTATATTAGTTATTCTGTTATTCTACTAAACAGGAATAGAGGTATGGATGGCTTTATTTAATTGGGTATAAACTTGACAGATTAATACACATTACATCATTCATTTTCTGTGTTATATATATAATTATGTATAATTATTATTACCTGAGAGGAAGTTGAATGCCTTTTGTCTGTTGTCATTCATTGTCTATCATTTGACTCACTTTAAAGGTCATAGGGCTCAATTGATGTTCAAATCTTCAAACATCTTCTCAATAAACAAAAGAAACCAGGTACTAATATTTGGTTTGTAGCATGCGTGGATGAAGGGCTACAAAATTTGATTCAGATGAATAACCAAGACCCACTTTCAAGGTATCAGGGGTCCCATGTATTAAAGTCTTTAGAAAAATCTCTTCTCAATAACCAAAAGAGACAGAATGCAGATATTGGGCCTGTAGCATGCAGGTTTGTTCGAATGTACAATCATTGAAATATCATGATATAACAGTGTTCATTATAAAATACCAACTATTGTCGACAAATATAACAGGCAATAATAATTTGCCAGTAAAACCTTGTCACTTATTTATAAAGACCATAACAGACCATTAAATGCTTAAGATTACATTACCTATGTATGTACTTTCTCATGCTGATCATAACTTGATCCAGTAGCTACCTGTGTGTGCAGTGTATTGCATTCTAAAAGATGTTACCATTCTACAGACTGCATTTTTTATCCAATTGTGATGATGCTTCATACACATGTTCACAAAGATCATATCTTGTACATATTTGCATTTCACCCTCTACAGTAAACACTAGGTTTCCAGTGCTGTGAATGGATATTGACATAATTTTATGGCATGTCCACTCTACTGCTGAATTTCTTTTCAGAATGTCAAAATACCTTACACATGTGCTCACAATTATCACCTCTTGTATGAAATCATGTTACATCCTTCTGCATTCTAAACTAAGTCACCACCACTACAAATAGAAATGAACAGAATGTTTGACATCACTGTTATACAGACACTTTGGTTTTTTGATTGTCATGTTACTTAACATATGTTCACAAACATCACCTTTTGTGCAAGATTGCATTTCAGCCTTCTGCTGACAAAACTAGGTCACCTTTACTATAAATAAACATTAGCATAGCACAGAAGTTTTATTCTTTTAAATTTTCAATATTCTCATTTACCATATAAGGTAGATATTAGACATTTACCATATAAGGTAGATATTAGACATTTACCATATAAGGTAGATATTAGACATTTACCATATAAGGTAGATATTAGACATTTACCATATAAGGTAGATATTAGACATTTACCATATGAGGTAGATATTAGACATTTGCCATATATATTTCTTGGACAAACCAGCTCATGAAACAGAGGCCAAATCACTCTCAATTTCCCTTTACACTTTGCCTTTCAACCACTTTTGGGCTTAAGGGTATCCATATTGCTGTGATGATGATTGAAGTTGAACAGACTGACCAGCTCCTTAAACAGGGGACATCACTCTAAATCTCTCCTAACATTTATTATGTTTTGTATTGTATGTGATGGCTATTGAAATGGAACATCAGTATTGATTCTTAAAATTATTCCTCTGTTTTTATGCCTGCTCCTGTTGTAATGGCCTGGTCATGTGTTCCATGTCATTTACTGTACATCTATCTGGTTAGTTTATATCTTAACATTGCAATGTAAATAAATTTACAGTTTAAACAGAGATGATAACATAACTGTCCACCCATACTGGGTATACAGTTTACAGGTAACTTTACATGATCAAAACTGATAATGATCGTGATATACAAAAATAAATAGACAATGTTCTTTTCAGAAAACATATTACCAACGCATCATATCACGTGTATTAATCTCACACATTGGTTTTCAGTTGCCACATTCTTACAAGCTTTCCTTGGTGTGAAAAGCTCCGAAGTTTTGTTTAACAACTACTTGAAGTTCTCTTTATCTGGAAAATAGTGTACTTGGATTGAGCTACAGAAAATTTATCATTTCTTCTTCAGATGTTAAGGAGTGTGTTTGTGGTGTACAAGTTGTATTATCTGTGATTACAAATTATTTGAATAAGGCTTTGAAAGGTGTCTTGGAATGACATTTTTAGTATTTATATTTACATGTAATTATTCTACAGGAAATTGCCTTCTCTTCCAAAACTAATTGTTTTCTACTCATTCCTGATCAAAGGATTCTTAGTCACATTTTTGGTATTGCTATGGTGAATTTCAATGTAAAATTCTAATCATGGAAGTTGTATGCACACGGGAAAGTGATGAGAATAATAGTGAACAGGAAGGCATATTTTTCACAGATAGAGAAAATGTTTTTGAATGTGTTAAAAATTCTGAGACAAGAAAGAATTCAATTAACAATCCTGGTCGATGGAGAACCTTAAAAAACTTAATGTCAGGTAAGTGCAGGTCGTATGTACATCATAATATATGTCTAAGGTAAGAATGATTTTCAGAGTTTGATCAGACACACAAATTTTTAAGAGTTTGTTTATATCATCAACACTTATTTTACACAAATGTTCTTTAAGATCAGTATACAGGATATATAATTGGAAGGTGGTACAATATGTTAATGCGGCTAGAAGTAGGTCATTGTGACCAACATTTTGACCTTCATGAGAAATTATAGTTCAGAGGATAATTTTTATACCAATCACTATATTATCCCCCGCGAAACGCGTTTACGTGGGATATTAAATTGGGCTCCGTCCGTCCGTCCTTCCGTCCATGTGTGCGTCCGTCCGTCTGTCCGTCCAAGTGATTTTCCGGGCTATAACTTTGAAACCGTTCAATTCAACTTCACAAAACTTTCTGTATATATTAAGTCATTGCTCTAGTTGTGCCTTTTGCTATTGTTGACATTTCACTTTTTATATTTTTTTCTGTTACCATGGAAACATAGTCAGAAAACACCAAAAGAGGGCTTTTCCGGGCTATAACTTCCAAACCGTTCCACTCAACTTCACAACAACTGTGCGCGGGAGATAATGCCACGCTTTGCGGCATCTTGTTTGTTATACCATCTAAATATGTATATCTTAATTGTGTATTTCGTACTAGAATTAGGTCATTAATATTTTGTCAAATACAACTTTCATACATTGAAGAGGTAGAAAAGACCCATATAAAAACAACATAACTAAGGGTGTCAGCAAATAACTATTGAACAAAAAGTCTAGAGGGGTCAGCAAATAGCTATTGAACAAAAAGCCTAGAGGGTTCAGCAAATAACTATTGAACAAAAAGCCTAAAGTGGTCAGCAAATAACTATTGAACAAAAAGCCTAGAGGGTCAGCAAATAACTATTGAACAAAAAACCTAGATGGTCAGCAAATAACTATTGAACAAAAAGCCTAGAGGGGTCAGCAAATAGCTATTGAACAAAAAGCCTAGAGGGTTCAGCAAATAACTATTGAACAAAAAGCCTAGAGGGGTCAGCAAATAACTATTGAACAAAAAGCCTAAAGGGGTCAGCAAATAACTATTGAACAAAAAGCCTAGAGGGGTCAGCAAATAACTATTGAACAAAAAGCCTAGAGGGTCAGCAAATAACTATTGAACAAAAAACCTAGAGGGTCAGCAAATAACTATTGAACAAAAAGCCTAGAGGGGTCAGCAAATAATTATTGAACAAAAAGCCTAGAAAGGTCAGCAAATAACTATTGAACAAAAAGCCTAGAGGGTCAGCAAATAACTATTGAACAAAAAGCCTAGAGGGGTCAGCAAATAACTATTGAACAAAAAGCCTAGAGGGGTCAGCAAATAACTATTGAACAAAAAGCCTAGAAAGGTCAGCAAATAACTATTGAACAAAATGCCTAGAGGGGTCAGCAAATAACTATTGAACTAAAGACCTAGAGGGTCAGCAAATAACTATTGAACAAAAAAAAAGCAAATAACTATTGAACAAAAAACCTAGAGGGTCAGCAAATAACTATTGAACAAAAAACCTAGAGGGTCAGCAATTAACCATTGAACAAAAAGCCTAGAGGGGTCAGCAAATAATTATTGAACAAAAAGCCTAGAAAGGTCAGCAAATAACCATTGAACAAAAAGCCTAGAGGGGTCAGCAAATAACTATTGAACAAAAAGCCTAGAGGGGTCAGCAAATAATTATTGAACAAAAAGCCTAGAAAGGTCAGCAAATAACTATTGAACAAAAAGCCTAGAGGGTCAGCAAATAACTATTGAACAAAAAGCCTAGAGGGGTCAGCAAATAACTATTGAACAAAAAACCTAGAGGGTCAGCAAATAACTATTGAACAAAAAGCCTAGAGCGGTCAGCAAATAATTATTGAACAAAAAGCCTAGAAAGGTCAGCAAATAACTATTGAACAAAAAGCCTAGAGGGGTCAGCCTAGAGGGGTCAGCAAATAACTATTGAACAAAAAGCCTAGAGGGGTCAGCAAATAACTATTGAACAAAAAGCCTAGAGGGGTCAGCAAATAATTATTGAACAAAAAGCCTAGAAAGGTCAGCAAATAACTATTGAACAAAAAGCCTAGAGGGTCAGCAAATAACTATTGAACAAAAAGCCTAGAGGGGTCAGCAAATAACTATTGAACAAAAAACCTAGAGGGTCAGCAAATAACTATTGAACAAAAAGCCTAGAGCGGTCAGCAAATAATTATTGAACAAAAAGCCTAGAAAGGTCAGCAAATAACTATTGAACAAAAAGCCTAGAGGGGTCAGCAAATACCCTCTGACTCCAATTCAGGAGGTGGTTTTATTACAGGAAGATTCAACATTGTGTATTTGTCATTAAATCTGCTGAAAAAAATACTAATAAAATTGGAAACACTTCTGATTAGTAAAATATTTATTGGTTTTGTATCAAATCTTCAGACACATTGCAATTAGACTTACTATCTGATCAGGTCTACATATTGTTGCCTACAAGATAACACCAATGATATGTATAAAGACATGGGCTTATTGTCAGATATAGAATAAATATTGACAGATAAAGATAGGAGATATGTATAACAAGCATTTATTAAATGTTGATATATATAGATAGATATGTATATATGGTTGTTTTGGGAGGTTTCCAAGTGTATAAGTTAATGAAAGTTGCTTTAAAAGATGTCATAAATCCTATTGTGCTGGACACAGTGGAGTAATATTTTAGCTGGGATACTTTGTGTTTGACACATATCTTTATTAAGATATCGTAAAACTGACACACTAAGAAGACATTTCCAAACGAGCTAAACACACACTTATAATAAACATACATGTATTAGTCTGATCGGTAAACCAGAGAAGGTCCATCTCTATATGCACTACTGATCTGACCCACAACAATCAAAATCCACTTCAAATGAATCTACCGGTCATAGTTCCCCATTCTGAAGTTGTTGTCATTAGACAAGAAACCGCCTGTGAGAATATCATCTATTCCTGTGAGAATATCATCTATTCCTGTGAGAATATCATCTATTCCTGTGAGAATATCATCTATTCCAATTCTGTATTTTTTATCGTTAGTCAATATCATGAAGAGTTTTCCGTCTAAGCTGTATGAATGTTTAACACTCTTCAGTCTATAGGCTTCCCTGAGAATTTCTTGGATCTTTTGCGTTAAGTCCTCAAACACTACTTGTCTTTTTCCCCCTCAGTTTTCTTCTGTTGTTCAATATTGTTGTTTTCTTCCTTCTGTGGGTGAGTTTACAAATTATTGTCTGTGGTCTGTCTTTACTGAAGTGTCCTAGCCTGTGTGCGATATCGATATCGCCAGGTTCTATATCAACATCCAGCGATTTTCTAATGAATGTCACAATTTTCCCAACATACTCCTCAACTGTTTCCTTGTCGCACCAAGTTCTTCCTCCCCTGTTGCTCTACATTATTCAGTGTACTCTTCAGTAGGGTGTTAACTGTCTTAAACTCGCTATAATGACTTGACAGTTGGTGCACTTTCTCCCTCAGAATGTCGTTCTCTATCTCAAGGTCAAACATTCGTCCTTCTGACTTTTCTACAAGAACCTGATTCTCTTCTCTTATATCTTCCCGCAGTCTCTCTAACTTTCTGTCCATTATCGTATCCATATCCCTTTTGGTGACGAGCAGATATCATGTCAAAAAGTGTATCAATACGGTCTTTATCCAAAGAATCAAAAAACGCATCTGGCTTTTGGTTTTTGCACCACCTGCAGTCCTGCCTCCAACACTTCCTCTGGGGCCCGGCATGATTGTAATAAGAAATAATGTAAGACCCAAGTAGTACAGGTTAGACATATATGCATGTTCAGGTAAAGAGGGTGTACACACAGAGCGCATGAGTGGTAGTCAGGCAGTGTGGTCAGTCCATTGTCGTAACCGTTGTTTCAACTAACACATTTTCAGTAAAACTTTTCTTGAGAATTCTGACAGAATGTCCTACATTTCTTCAAGATGACACATGCCAAAAATCAACTCGTGATTTTCGGGAACGATGATGAAAACTGAAAAAATCTACGGAGCCAAAAATCAATCCGACTGACCAGATCGACCCTCGCTTAAGTGTATAAGTTAATGAAGTTGCTTTAAAAGATGTCATAATCCTATTGTGCTGGACACAGTGGAGTAATATTTTAGCTGGGATACTTTGTGTTTGACAAATACCTTTATGAAGATATTGTAAAACAGCCATCTTCATATAATATAACAATACCTGTCTATATGGGCCACCTCTGTGTAACAAATATTAGTCTTTAGGGGTCACCTCTGTAACAAATACCTGTCTAAAGGGGCCATCTCTGTGTAACAAATACCTGTCTTTATGGGCCACCTCTGTAACAAATACCTGTCGAAAGGGACCACCTCTGTGTAACAAATACCTGTCTATAACGGCCACTTCTATGTAACAAATAACTGTCTGTAGAGACCACATATGTGTAACAAATATCTGTCTAAAGGGGCCACCTCTGTGTAACAAATACCTGTCTATAAGGGTCACCTCTATGTAACAAATAACTGTCTGTAGAGACCAAATATGTGTAACAAATATCTGTCTACAGGGGCCACCTATGTGTAACAAATACCTGTCTATAAGGGTCACCTCTATGTAACAAATAACTGTCTGTAGAGACCACATATGTGTAACAAATATCTGTCTACAGGGGCCACCTATGTGTAACAAATACCTGTCTATAGTTGCTACCTCTGTAACAAATACCCGTCTTTAGGGGCCACTTGTGTGTGACAAATACCTGTCTATATAAACCCCTCTGTGTAACAAATACCTGTCTATTGGGGACACCTCTGTGTAACAAATACCTGTCAATTAACACCATTGTTTCAAATTTTCAACTAATTTAGAAAATGAAGGCACCTGCCTAATATTGAGACCAATTTTCTCTCCAGTGTCCATTAAAGAAAGGTTAGACTGTAGGACTTTATTTTACAACATTGGATGAGAAGTATATATAACAACAAAAAAGTTTTAAGAGTGATAGCAGAAGTATCTTTTTTTGAGTTTAGAATTACATTGAATTAAAAATGGAATTATGCCTGTAATATGTGTCCTATTTTCATCCAGCTGTGTATTTGTACACACAACAAAAAGGGGAAACTGTTCTGCCAACCTGGGCATCAAATCAGAGTAATAAAAACTACCCATGAAGTTAAATATTCTTTCAGGTTTTCACACAAAAGTAATAAAAATTCTCATCTGTAATTCTTTCAAATGGCACTTTGTTGCAGGGGAGCATTTTGGAAAGCGACATTTGTTGGCCATACTTGCATTTCTGGGGTTCTTCAATGTTTATTGCCTTCGTGTAAATCTCAGTGTGGCCTTGGTTGCCATGGTGAACAACACCAAGAAGGTTGACAACCACAGTATTGATGCATGTCCGTCAATTCATGGAGCAGAAAATAAAACGACAAGGCAGGTAAGTTGATAGAAATAGAGATTTCAGGCCACCAATCTAGCCTGCAGAACTAGTATAATGTTTCTCATAAGATATTTACCTAGAAAACTTGTATGAGCTCAAGCTACATGTTACTATAAATGGATGCTTGAGCTCTCATACTTGTAACAAATTTGTATGAAAATTAAAATTCAAATGTAAATTAGTTTTTGAAAATAAAGAAATTAAAAAATCATTTTAGCAAAATTTACATTCTCCACTAAAATTTCTGAATTAAAGATTCCACCAAAAGGTACCCGTACTAATATTCAAATTTTTATGGCCAGAGGTAGTTTCTTTCATGGTTTTTGGTATTCATTTCTGACGTTATAACATATACATATATGCCTGTTTATAAGCCCACCCATTATAACTGTTTCAGGAGAAAATGTAACAGTTGTGATGTCATTATGTATATAAACAGTGTACATCTATGGAACTCTGTAACAAATTACAAATGTTCAGAAATTCAGATTTTTTTTGTCAGGGAGATTTAAACTGGGATGAGAGCACACAAGGAATTGTGCTGGGGTCATTTTTCTATGGTTACATTGTAACCCAGCTCCCAGGAGGCTGGCTAGCGGAAGTGTTTGGGGCAAAGATGCTATTTGGACTTGGTGTGTTGTGTACAGCTGCGCTCACTCTCCTTACACCTGTTGTAGTCAATGAGCTTGGACTGGGAGCATTCATTGCTCTGAGAGTTGTTGAAGGCTTAGGAGAGGTAAGATACAATGTATTGCTTGATGAATAAAGAGGGGCTTAAACTATCCCCTACCATCAGACAGCAGCAACGAGGTGTAGTAATTGTTTTGTGGGTTGTAACTGGGCTATAGAAAATGATAATATACCTTCCCTCTCCTACCATCAGACAGCAGCAACGAGGTGTAGTAATTGTTTTGTGGGTTGTAACTGGGCTATAGAAAATGATAATATACCTTCCCTCCCCTACCATCAGACAGCAGCAACGCGGTGTAGTAATTGTTTTGTGGGTTGTAACTGGGCTATAGAAAATGATAATATACCTTCCATCCCCTCCTCTCTCCCACTTTTAAGATATGAACTTTTGAGTTTGCTGGTGCATGAACTGTGAATGATGTGCAAAAGCAACTGATAACAGAATTCAAATGCATGCAGTTTAAACAATCAGTAAAACATGTGCGTTCTCGGGTTTCTATCATCCATTTACCCCAGTTTCTTCATTTAGATTTCATATATATGTTTATTATCCCTTTAGGATGAAAACCAACGGTAATTATGTTCTACCGTATTTATTCCAATAAATGCCCCGGGGGGCGTGAAATTTTTCAGACAGGGGGCGATTAATAGAACACAAAATTTCATAATTTGTTGGTCGTGCGTGCCATGGCTGCCACTTAAAAACATTGTTTAACAAACTAAAGAATTACTCAGCAAAGAATGCATTTGAAAATTGCAGTAATTCCAAAATCATTGTAGCTTTAAACATTGTTGTCAATTGCATTCTGATAACCTGAATTCTTGTATGAAATGACACTATGTCATTCGTGTCAGCTTCAGTCAAAGACGTACAATGTTCATCATTGCTTGTAGGCCTAGTTTGCATAACAAAATAAAAAAACACAGCGGTATATAAGCCAGTCTGTTTCTTAATAAATCCCACATGCCTGATAACAATGTCTGGGACAAAACAAAATTACGACACTGCTTTCAAGCTTAAAGTAATCGCCTTCGCAGAGGAGAAGGGTAAACATGCCGCCGTGAAAGTGTTTCATGTTGACAGAAAACGAGTGGGGGACTCATGTCAAAACAAAGAAAAATTAAAAAATCTTTCTAAAACATCTAAACGCTGTAAAGGAGGTGGGAGGCATGTCAGATATGAAGATATTGACAAAAATCTGATGAGATAGCTACAGGACAGACGGGAGGCTGGAATACGAGTGACTGGGAAAGCATTGCGGTTTGGAGGCCCTGTGTATACATAAGGCAAATGGTAGTCAATCGTTCAAAGCCTCATATGGATGGTTTTCTAAATTCAAAAAGAGACATAACATTTCGTTCAGGCGATCTACGCATGTGGCACAACATGAAGTTTCATTAATTGATGATCGTATTGACAGTTTTTTTAATTTCGTGTTAAGAATGCGTCGGCTACGAGAATACCCCAATAGCCATATCGCTAACATGGACGAAACCCTGGTGTGGTTTGACATGCCAGGAAAATTGACATTGGCAATAAAGGGGGAAAATGAGGTCAGAGTTTACAGTACTGACCACAAAAACAAAAAGTAATGGTGACACTGGCAGCATATGCCAATGGGACTAAAATCGCCCCCCTTGTGCACATGCCAGGCATTCGTCCCCTTCCAAAAGATGACATACCAAGTGGTATTGTGGTATACATATGCGGGGCCGAACAAAAATCCTGGGCAAGCGAGGAAAGTATAAAATTTTGGTTAAAAAAACTCTGGGGTGTGAATAATACAGCCAGGCGTTATTAGTATGGGACGCTTTTTTAGAGATGGGGTGTTTATTGGAATAAATACGGTATCTATGTATACGTTGTCAATATGTTAAGGTTTGACTGTACAATATCTATGAGGATGTAAAAAAATTGCAAAAGATAAAAAAAAAGATAAAAATAAATATGTGATGTACATACTTATAAGAGAAAGTAAAATAAATAATGTATGTACAGTGTTCTGTTTCGTTCTACAGGGAGTCACTTTTCCTGCCATGAGTGCCATGTGGGGTAAATGGGCGCCACTTTGGGAAAGGAGTAAACTAGCTGGATTTACCTATGCAGGTTTGTTGTAGCAAATTATGACTTAAGACCTGATTTCACTCTATTTAGTGGACTTTGAGTGCAAATATTTCATGTTTAATTTGTATCCACTAAATGGGGAGGGAAGGAGTCAATGCCCGTCTGGTGGACAAGGTGGGATCTTCAGGTAGGTTTAATCGCTGGAGGAGGGATACCAAAAGGTGTGCTAGAAGTCACTCGACATTGTAACTCGCGAAGTCGGTCAGTAAATAATAAAAGTATTCCACCTACGTAACTTTGTGAAGCTGGTTGATATTGAGTACTTCTACGTACGACCTTTGATTTTCATCCAGTTGTAATTCACTAGGGTTTGAGCTTTACTCAACATGTGAAGGACCAAGTGACATGTAGGAATGTCTGTTGTCTGTCAACTTTTGATATAAATCACTACTCCTCATGAATGACTGAGCGTACTTTAACCAAATTCGGTCTAAGCATTCTTTGGGATAACAGGAACCATTTTGTGTAAACAATGGGTCTGCCTTGGTTTAGAACCTGGTGACCCAAAACGAAAAATTCTTAAAAATCCTACTCCTCCTGTAAGAATGATTAGATTTTGCTAAAATTTTATCTGAAACATTCATGGGTGATGGAGAATCAGTTTTGTTAAATGTAGATGTTGGCTACCTCCTGAAAAAGGAGGGACGAGGCCTAATAGAGAAAATAGATAAAATTCTTTGAAATTCCGCCCCTCCCGTAGAAATTATTGGATTTGCCCAAATTTATTCTGAAGCATTCTTGGGCGAAGGGGAATAAATTAAGTGTTTTTGGCTCTTTTAAACAATGAATGAAAATTGTGAAAGAGAGATGCATTGATAACAAAATAGAGTAAAACATTGTCCATTACATGACTTATCTCGTCACAAAAGTGATGTTTGATGGGAGTGACTTTATTACACCTCCCCTGCCCCCTCCATTTTCCAGGAAGATTTAAAAAAAGTGGGATAGAGCTAATTTGTGGGGTTGGCCTGTATGAGGGTTATGTAAACATTGTGTGTCTTGTATATTTACAACAAGATCATCTAGTTCACCTGTGGCATAGTTCAGAATATACATTGAATATACTTTGAATTAGACATTCAAATGAAATTATCAGATATATGAAAACTACTAAATCTATTGATTAATGGGACTAGTGCCCCTCTAGTCTGGGTTAAAATGTGAAATTCTATTTAATTGTGTGTCTCTTGTACATTTGTCTTTAAATAAGCACTTTTCATTAATCAATATTTTTTGTAATCAGTAAGAACAATTTCGTTTACTTTTGCAGGGGCCCAGCTTGGAACTGTTGTATCCATGCCTATATCTGGAATACTATGTGACTCCGACTTCCTGGGAGGATGGCCTTCTGTTTTCTATATATTTGGTAACTGTTCCAGCAGTTTTAAACATTTAATCCTAACCAGTAATAAAACCATCATGCCTGGTGTTAAACCCACTTTTACATCTATTTCAAACATCATCAACATGAAGTCATGTATTCAACTTCTGGTGGAGAATGCTGACATTCTGTGTTAATGGTTTTTAGCATCCCTGCATAAAAAGGGGTGTAACCTTAACCATGCATCCATCGTTAAACTGGCATCAGTTATTTATGATTAATGCAATGACTTCTTTCCAGTTTCCAACAAGCTCAGTATCAGGATATTTGACAAGTAAATATATTATCCTGAGATGAACAACATTTGTATTTGTACTGTGACATTTACCTTAATTCAAGGTCAAAAGGGTCAAAGGGGGATGAAAAAGACTTGTTCCAAAAACCATTCTTAATATCCAGATTCTGTTCCTTATATAGTTAAGCTTTTTTATATACAACTACAGCAAATGAAACAGTTGGCCTTGTTTTATCGCTTCTGATGATGAAAAAATAAACGACATATATGTATATATAAACATAAGAAAAACATAAAGAACAAATGACATAGTTAGTCTTTGGCATATCATGGGCTACTCACAGACAATACTAAAAATAGAATACACTAAAATTACAACATAAGCTTAACTCCAGATGAAACCAAGAGAAGCTAGACTCTGCTGATCTCCAGAGAAGCGTATGACACTTAGCCTGGAAAAGCTGTAAGTCTCTAAGTGATTTAGAGAGGTTAGATAAACAAGACTAATGAAAGATTTGAGAGAAGCCTTCTCGGCAAAAGAAACTTTTAAGTGAGACAAGAGTGACTTAAGCGAAGAGATTCAAGAGAAGCGAAGTACAGGATTTTTAGGATTGCGACACATTTCAAGAAAGAGCCACAGACTCTTGATGATTCAAGAGAAGCGAAGTAAAAGACTGTGACATATCGTCCTCTTGACATTAGTCGATGCTGCTTATAAATTCCTCTATGTTGATATTGGAGCTAGTGGTGCAGGTTCGGATGCTGGAGTCTTTAGTGAGAGAGTACTGAAAGATGCTCTTGAAAATGGAACTATTGGACTACCAGAACCCCTACCAAACGATGACCGACACGAAACTGTCGATACGTCACTTGCAGTTTTTGTGGAAAAATTGTCTCCTTTGATATTACGTTTTTAGACGGCATTGTTGTTGAAAGATATTATCTGTTTGGCAAGTGAAGAGTGACGTGCATTGCTTCCCTGCTCATAATAATCGTAGGTAAACTGTGTACATCCATATGGAAACCGGAACACAGCATATTGATACCGATGATGTCCGTACTTGCTCCGCGATCACACCGTGACTGAACATGTAGCTTCCGGGTACAAACCATGTATAATCCATAGACATCCGTGGTCTTTTGTACAACATAAACATACCCGGATGACCCCGGATGTTTCATGGATCACTCGGCTACAACATGGATATACACGGAGCCTGCACGGACATTTTTCATCCGTGTAGGTCTGGTTAAAATTTTTTCGTCGGATCAGATTGACTTACCTGGATGGACTCGGATGTCGACGGATGCATTAAATGTCAACACACGGTAATGACGGACTGCCCCAGATTGACGGTCAATGGTGATCCAGCGTCTCATCCGTGGATGTGTGAAAGTGGCTTAAGACAAGCAAAGTCTTCAGTAATTGAGAAAAACATGTCAATTAAAAAAATTACTGATGTTTTAACTTCAAAGTATAAATGTTTAACATTTGACCTTGTAATCGATTGGACCATTGATTTTTCACATTAATTCTAAACTGTCCTTTGATCAACAGGTGTCCTTGGATGCATATGGTTTGCAGTATGGATGTTTCTCGTGCATGATACACCAGCAAAGCACCCAACAATATCAGAAGCTGAAAGATCATACATAGAAATTTCAATAGGTAGTAAACAGGTAGGTCAGTGGAAGAAAATTATTTTCATCCCTCGCCTAACAGCGTTGGCATGTGACATTCAAATGAGTTCTGTCCGTCAATTCAATATCTTTTATCACGATGGGAAATCTTTCTGCATATTATCTTATGATGGAATAATAGGATTTTTAGGAAACTTGCTTTGTGGACTTATTACCTTAATTCCTTGTTCAGGACCGATTATCAGCAAATTCTATGTATATTTTATGAGAGGGCTTTGACCTTGTTAGCTGATATCTTTTGGCACTCTGACTGAATGCTTTCCGCATGTCATCTTTTGAAGGAATAAATGAAATATGATGTGACTTGCTTGGTAGACGTCTCCGTAAACCCTGAATCAAGTTTTATTATTTGCAAATTCTGCACTTATTTAATGAGGCTACTGTTAGCTGATTGGCTGATTTCTTTCCCAGTTTTCCATGTTGCTCACTTTAAATGTATATAATTTTACAAATGAAGTTGGACGGGAAATCTTGATAACTATGTCCATATTTTAACTAGTTTAGCAATGAAAACATTATTTCAGGTACCATGAAATTTAATTCATGAAACTTTACACCATGAACAAATATTTTGATGCAGAAATGTTTGGAACTAGTAGCCATGAAAGACAGTTTATATACAGTAGTTGCTTCAGATTGGTTTAAATTTGTATTGAGTGTCCTACGTAATGTTTACATGTTGGTGAAATGTTTTGGTTCGTAAAGTGATACTTAAATTCTGATTTAGGTGCCTACATAATGTTTACGTGTTGGTGAAATGTTTTGGTTTTTAAAGTGATTTGTGTATCAATGATGCGATATTTTTTCCAGAGGTTGCGGACTCCCTGGAAATCTATACTCACCTCCAAGGCAGTGTGGGGAATTTGTGCCGGTCATTTTGCTAACAACTGGGGATTCTACACCATGTTGACTAGTCTTCCTACATACATGAAACAGATTCTCAACTTTGATATATCTGAGGTACTATTTCCTGCCAATTTGGATTTTGCACCAAAGTCTGCACCTTATCACATTTTGATGACCATTGGTCAAGTATAAAGATCAAAGGTCACCTTTGACCATCTTGCAAGTAAAAGCTTGTGTACAAGGATATGAGGGGGTATATCTGTGTGAGCTCATTTTGTTTTTGTTTATGAAAAGATGTGGATAAGCTCATTGCTTGGTAAATAGATATTGAAATCACAATCTGTATCTAAGCCTTTCCTTTAGGTATATAGTGTTCATATTTATTGAATTCTTATGTTTATTTGAAAAAAAAAAAAACCCAAAAACTTATTCTCATCTTTCTCAGTAACCTTTATTTTGCACTGTACAGATGGTGGTTACAAACTGTGTGAACAGTATGCGCATATTCACATCGTTTTAAGTGTTATTCTCTGATATCAAGCCAGTCCATTTATACTTGATTTCATCGTCACTGACAAAGGATTGTTTTCTCATTGGTTCTGATTCAACCATGATTTTTTCAGGTACAAATTGTGATAAGTGTTCTTAAATAGTGGACTACAAGTGAAGATTTATGGTGTATAACTCATTTTGACCGAAAGGAAATGGTCCACTGAGCTCCCTTAGAATATTATTATAAAAATTATTATTATTGCATTCTTAACGGCCTGTTAACACATAAAAGGTCATTTGGGCCATCAACCAATAAAACAGCGATCCAAAAGGGAATTACATGAAACCAACTAAAATGTAGCTTCCTAAGAAACAGAAACCACAATGTGTGGTTTCCTAAGCTCAGTGCATGGATCTGTGCTGTCATGGTTTTGTCCTTGTGTGATATAAACATATCCCAATGGTCCTTGATTGTATGTAAAGGGTCTCCCATATTTTGTTCAGTGATTTAGCCACCAGCTACTACAAGGAGACCACTCCTTAAAATGACCTCGACTGTTCACATAAACCCCGCAAACAAACAAATAGGTAATTATACTAAAGTTTTAATTTTTGATATTTTCAGAATGGTTTTATATCTGCCCTGCCCTATGTAGTATGCTGTATTTGTCAGACATCTTCTGGGCATGTAGCTGATTTTATTCGCAAAAATGGCTACCTATCAACGAAAAATACTCGCAAGATGTGTATGACATTGGGTTAGTAACTGAATAATAAAGAATACTTCATTTAATATGCTAATCTGTTTTATGTGCTGAAATCTTAACTGAAGATTTTAAGTATATGTTTACTAAACAACTGTCAATAGAAGGTGTTCTGTGTATGTCAGACTTTCTGGCGTCTGCAGTTCCTCTGTAATTTCTTCAATTTTTATTTTTTTCTTCTGCTCATTAAGATTTGTGAACCATGAAAGTTGATGATCTCTTTGAAACAATTTAAAAGAATTTATAGCTCAGTTTTCTCGAACTTTGCATGCATGTTACAACAATTATAAGTCTATTTCTTAGTACGACTTGTACTAACTGGGTGGATTTTAATACATATACTTCTATTTACGTCAATGTCCCTTGTTGTGTTTGTTTCTAACTCAGAAAAAAAAAGATAAAATAACTTGATGATCACCAGAGGAAAACCTTTTGAAATAAAGTTTGGATCTATAATCAGTTTACAAAATATTTTTAAACCAGCACAACTAGGGACAGGAAAAAGGAAAAGTTCACTTTCACATTTGTTTTATCATTCTCTTTTGAGCTCATCACATTTATATTTATGATAATGAGTTAAAATTGCTACATTGTACTTTTTGGTGTATAAGTAGTGGGCAGCAACATTGAAGTCCCAATACATAAATATGATTCTTAATTATAACCAATATATTATCATGTTTGTGTGTAAAGGAGACTGTTTTTTAAGCACAGCTACATGTTGTTACCACTTATGCTCCGTTGGATATGTTTACTGTGGATTTAATATCGCCGATTCCTGGTCATAAAAGATGGGGCAATCTTAAATTTCCAGTATTTGTATTTACAATGAATGAAATCTCAGAAATAATAGTTTATAAGCTTGTACCTGATTTTATTTTTGGTTGATTTAATGTCTTTCTTAATCAAGAAATTTCCATAAGAAATATAAAGATCTTTGATAGCTTATATGAATTTTCAGTGTATTTATAGGCAGATTTTAGGAGTTATTTATTGGAGTCTGTCCTATTTATCATTTTGAATAAAGTCATGTGCTCATGAAGTGTTTAGAAAACTGTGGAATGTTAGCACTGCAAAAATGTATTACTGTACCATGTGGTAATATAGGAAATGATCATGTGACTTCATAAAAAAACAGGAAGATTCTTATTATATATATATTTTAAATTTCTACAACATCCTTTACAGGATTGATGTTACCAGCTATCCTTATGTTCTGCATTGGTTACGCGGGCTGCAATCACATTGTGGTGGTAACCATGCTTACCTTTGCTGTAGGACTTGGTGGTATATGCATGGGAGGATTCAATGTCAATCATTTAGATATTGCACCTAATTATTCAGGTAAAATTGAAATGTAATTGTGAGTAAACTTCACAGTAAAATTACTTCCTGTTTATCATTTATATTATCATGAAGTCTTAAAGTTTTCTGCAGTTTGTACTTCACCTAAAGTTCATAGGTCAAAATATAACTAACAGTTCTTTCCTATCTTGTCTTTGTCTATAAAAAATCAAATATTTCAGGAGTTCGCTATAACATGCTTACATGTCCACAATCTGCATATAAAAATAGATTAATTGTTGTAACCATTACAGATAGCAAGTGTCAGGTCAACATAAATGCTATATTTTCAATATTTTCAACTTTTGAACATTTAAAGATACTTTGCTGAATCTTGCAATGCAAATGTTAGTGTCCATCACTAACAAGCATTGTAAATTGCATTGAATTAGACATATTATACGGTTCAGCTAAATGTAGCCGTTAATTTTAATATAATTTAACAGAATATCGATTAGCATAATTATTTTAGTTTGACATTAGGAAACATAGCTGATTCAGATCAAACAAAAACAATTAGAAAAAAAGAATTAGGAACATGTTGAAATTTTCAAAGTCATACTTACGAGATCAAAGGTCAAGGTCAAAAGTTCTATTGCTTTCAGCTGGCAAATATTTTGTTACAAAGTTACAAATAAAAGTTAATTGGAATTAAATGCATTGAAATATTACATCAAGGTCATAGGTCAAAATGTTTATACATACTTATCTCCTGACTTGTAAATATCTTTTGATGTCACAAGTTGATAATGTTGTTGGTATAACGCCTTTTACTCAGGAACGTTGATGGGCATAAGTAATTGTCTGGCTACCATCCCTGGATTCTTAGGACCATACATAGTTGGGCAGCTCACAAACAATAATGTAAGTACTGTATATGTACTTTTCTGTTGATGCATTTATTTAGAAAGATAAACTTGAATTCTGAGTGTAAGATGGATGTGTTCATGTTTTGATTTAAGAGTGTATGAAACCAATTTCCTTGAATGTCCTTTAGAGTTATCTTCCCTGAAATTTTACGAATTGCTTTCAGATGCACTGGTATTTATTAGAAAATTCAATGGAAGCATGCATTCACATTTTACATATCAAGTGTGTCTTCAGTTAGTTAATAGTATTTTTCTTTTCATAACTGTATGTACAGCAAGGATATACATCTCAATTCTTCATTTTTTTTTTAAACTTTTCTGAAAATGGTGGCAACTTAATTAATTCAAGACGGATATGATGACATAAATTAAAAAAATTTATTTGTCTGACCTGAAAAAAAATTTCCATTAATAAGTTATGCCTGTCTTATAATAACAATCTATATTGTTAATTAATATATAATTGTATATTAATGCATTTTATGTATATTCCAGCAAACTCGAGCCCAGTGGCAGATCGTATTTTATATCTGTTCTGCGGTATACCTGGCTGGGACTATACTCTATGTTCTCCTCGCTGAGGGCTCCGAGCAGCCATGGAATCAACAAGGCGGCGAAGTACTGACATTTACTGGCCAAGCCTCAGGTCAAGTTCCAAAACATCAGCCAGTTGCAGAAGAAGATCAAGTGTCGAACCTCCAATATAAACGTTTAAATGCAGAAAAATTTTGATGGAAAATAGGTTGTGTCTAATCAGGAATATTTAGCATTTTACTATGTGGCATGGTAATAATATTTTGGATCAAGATATGTATTGTATGAACTGTTTTTGAAACCTATCCTGTTTGTAGGTTTGTAGGATCTCTCTCTCTGTGGATGTTCTGATGTTGTAGGATATGCAAAGGATGAGAAGATTATAGTGATGCAGGTACTGCCAGTTTTAAATGCATACTCTAATTTATTTATCAAACTGTTCAGTTGCATTGAACTAAAAATATACATATTTCAGGGGTGACCTTATTTTAACGCTTTTCGCCCAAAATATTTTGCACTTAAATTTTTTTCTGTCTTTGGTGTGTGCAATGTCAATGTTAACATGAAAGGATATGGGTTGACAATACTCTGATCTTATGTGAGGATCAAATTTAGGCTACCTTCAGTGAAATGTATGTCATTTATGGTGTGACCCAATGACCAAGGTTTCAGGTGAAAAACACAAGAATATCAAACACATCAGGAATTAGTAATGCATTGTTTCAATAACTCTATGAGTCTGGTGATTATTATATTTTTTTATAACTTTATTGGGAAATGTTCTTTTGAGAATTGCGAAAGTGCTGAAACACGTTTTTTGAAAATTATTAGTGTTTTTATATGACATGAATTTAAAGGGATATTCCACCCAAAATGCAAAAAATTTCTTGCTATTCTGTATCTTTTATGAACTCATTCTAAAGACTTAAAAACTTTAAGTAAATCGGACCAGACGACACCTTAGGTAGACTTCCAGTCAAATTTTCGGAATCCACCTTGGGGAGACAGCCGAACTTGCCAAACTTGTGCACCAGATATGGGTGTTTTATTCTTTGTATTGACTTAAAAAACTGTTGACGTCATCAGAATATTTTTCCTGTGGTCAGTTTGGACAGGGGTAATTGTTAGGAATAGTCCAAGCCATTATAGATGTCTAAATATGGGCATCAGGATACCCAGAACTGAAGGAACACTGGATCATACATTTTATGCAGAGTATTTGGTCAATACACCTGTGTGTATGCTGTTCACTAAATTTTCTGCTAGGATTATAATTGTATTACGTCATTATATTTTCTGTTGGCTTTATAATTTACAAACATTTCATGCTGTTCGGCTTATAACAATGCAAACCTATTATGACATAATCTTGGCTGTGGAATGTTCTGGCTAGATCTATAAAGAATTTTCACAAATTGATATCATATGTTGGTTGAAATGGTACACCGAGGTGTGTGATTGCCATAAGAACATAAGTTGATGACTTTGTACAGATTTCATCAAAAGCATCCTATAATATCTTAACCTGTGTGGAATATCCCTTTAATACTGCAATCATTGATCAATAAATACATGAGATATTGTTTTGTGAATTTAATGTGCAATAATGAGAGAGTTGATGAATGCATGTATGTCTGTGTGTAGAGTGAGCAATTATGATATACAGAGTATGTATCCATGACTTGGTACATTGTGAACCAAACATCTATCTTACATTAATAGTTAGAATGGGCATTATTTCTATAAAGCCAGGGTGTTTTTGTATTTTTAATACTGTTTTTGTTCACTTTGACAAAATTTGTGACTTGTGTCACAGTAAAAGTTGTTATTTTGTATGGTTCAAATTTCCACAGATCAACCAAATTTTTATTTTACAATTTTCTATCATTGAAAAAAAAACTGGAAAATGAATAATACATCTTTACCATATGTCATATTGTTTGATCGGAATGGAGCCTGCTGACAAGAAATCTGTACTTCATATATTTCCAACAAACAGGGAAGTAACATTACTATTGTCATGGTCCAGGCCATATGTAATTTGTGGTGAATGATTTTATTAAATGTGTGGTAACAGGTTGTTTGGTTGTGGGAAAAGAAAAATATTATCTTAGTTTTTATCTGTAGTAAATTGTTGTAATTGACCAATCTTTAACAATGGCTTTGTTTTACAAATTTATTGGAAATTTTTATTTTGTTGATTTGTTTGTATACTTTAACTAGATTTCATTCGTCTTATTGTAGTTCTGTTACTTTTGGATTATGTTATGGTCTTTTAATGGAACATTTCAAATATGTCATTAATGAAATATTCAGAAAGAATTCTGTATTTTTTATTTATAAACTACCATGACAACATAATACTGTATTAAGAGAAAAGTGCCAATTTTACAAATTCTATATTGAGTCAGATGGTTCTGCAATCCTTGTGTGTTGATTAGAATCAGCAATGCTTTACAATTATCCGGTTTTCAGAACCATCATTTCCTAATTATACTTTGTGTGGTGGGGTTCAATATCTTTCTCTGATGTTCCTTGATAGTAATCTTCATTTAAGGAAATGACACCACAAGTCGTAAGTCAGTTTTACGATTCAACAATTATGTAATTACAAAGCTTCACTCTATTGGTAATCTAAAGTGTCACATAAACAGGACACTCATATGAAGTTTTGTAAAATCCAACATTGCTTAATAGTATAGAAACGGTGTAGGAAAATGAAAAATGAGTCTCCCAACTCAAGAAAAATAAACCTACTTGTGCAGTAGATAGTAAGAAGTTATCTCCCTTGAATGAGAATATTTTATGATACTAAAGTGACATCACAAACATGTACTACATTCTAAATCATACCTCTTACAATTAATTATAAGTTAGAATTATATCGCTATCAAAATGCAGAACTTTCATACTTTTACTTTGACAACGTAATATTAGACTTTGTCGAGAAATTCTAGATATTAAATTTGAAGGATTTCATGAAAAATGCTATATTTTATTTTCAGTCCTCCTAATAAATTTATTCTTTCATTGCCTTTGGTTGTAAATTTTTATCTATGTATCTGCCTGTAATAGATTATGCTTGATATTTATGGTAGTTGTAGTCAACACCGTATTCAACAAGTGGACACAGCCATGGCCTCATTCTGATCTCCCAGAGTTACTTCCCTTTTTTTCACTCTATCTTTATAGCAATAAGTTTGACAGTCGAAGGGGCCCTGAGAAAGCTAGAAATCTAAAATTGGAATCTACATTAAAGAACTGATTTCAAATGAATTGGCAATATCAGGTATATGTAGTAATTTTATATTTTCATCAGACTTGATACCAAGGTCAAGGTCACCATTATTATTTCATAATACCGAGGCAAAGGTCACTGTTACTATTTCATAACAATCTACAAACAACTGAGTGATTTTCCTCTGAAGGGATTTCATCACTTCTTAAACGACCATGAGTAACCTTCTTTTGGACAAATTCTGTGTTTGAGGGTCCAAAAGAAAACAAGATAAATCAATAGAATGATTTAGTGATACATAATGTATCACCAGCCAGAGGCAAAACATTGTCAGATCAATACATCTCACTGAGCAAATCAGAAAGTCTTCAGAAAGAGTACCAACATGTCAGCAAGAGCCCGGGGCCTTGGCCAACTCTTAACAGGAGTTTAACCAGGTTATCTACACAGGGGCCTGAAACAATGTTTCTTGTGGATAAGGGCTTGTATGGTATAATAATAAACCTTCACTCCCAAAAACACTATTGATTAAATAACTGCTTATGGGTTTTATGGCATTATTGTGTGATGGGATGGCCACTTCTATAAGTTGCTTTGTTTTGTCTATACAAGATTTTATCAGTTAAGAAACAGAAGGTTGATATTAACGCCTGTTTTATCTTGATGTTTCAGGTTCAATGTTCAATGTATTTCCCAGTAACCCTGTGACTTTGACTTCAGGTGTCTCATAGACTGACCTTGTTTCATGGTGTAAAAATTATTCCCCACTTACAATGTTATGGATTAGCAAATGTGACTTGACAATGAAACATAACCTTTAATCAGGCACTTGCTCATATCATTTTGATCAATTTTACTCCATTTAAATAATAGAGGCTTAATGACCTTGACCATCACATCGGATAAGCAATATTGAATATAAAAATGAAAGGGTAAGTAGCTTTGAAGTGTCATGAAAAAGAAATTGTGTCATTGATGATAGTAAGCCAGTGTCAATACCTATATCCTATCAAAACTGTCGTCATATACTATTATTTCTTAAAACGTTATTTCCAACAGGAAATAAACAATGTTCTGCTCAAAAAAATTTGTTTCTATATAAATTATAGCAGGGTTAACCTCCTCCCCAGGAGGAAATGTGAGACCCATTTTGGTAAAACACCCCAAGACACTTCCATCCATGAAAAGCATTTGATTCTACCATATCTGGATATTGAGGTTTTGAAATCTGAGTCAATTTGACTCCTTTGGTCCCGCCCATCAGCCCCTGGGGGTAAGTCAGGATCAAAATGGGCATACCATCAAGCTGTCATCTTTTGTTCATAATTCTAACCAAGTTTGAAATATTTCCAATGGAAATTAAACAAATTATGCTCAAAAATCTGTTTTCCTATATGAACTATCGTAAAATTTACCCCCACCCCACGGGGAATGTGACACCTTGGGGCCATGGAATACACAGTTTTGGTAATGAACCTGGAGATGCTTCCATCCATCAAGAGCATTTGATTCTACCATATCTGGGTTATGAGAAGATTTTTGAAATTTGAGTTGATTTAACACTTTTTCCCTGCCCCTCAGGCCCCTGTAGAGTTGGGATCATATAATTCACGGTTTTGGTTTGTCTTAGGCTAGGAAGGGGTTAAGCAAAATTTCATTGTAATTGGTTCAGGGGTTTTTGAGAAGCTGAAAATGTTAAATTGTTTGCGGACACACAATGCTGGACAAAGGTGATCAATTTGTCTCAGGTGACATAAAAATATGTCCATGTGAGGCCGTGTTTAAGAGGCTCAATACACAGATTGTTTGGATTTATCAGCACATGTTATCTTGAGGCAGATCCTTGTAACAGTGGGTAGCTCCCATAGTAACAACATAAAGGACTGGTTCATTGCATGCTATCAGAACAAGAGGCCCAGAGAGCCTGTAGGGCTCACCTGGATCTTTATGACCAACAGTACTATATCTGTGTATATGTTCCACATTTAAAACATTTGACCCCTATGGGTTAAGGTCATTTATTTTTGCAAACTTTCTTGGACTTCATAAAGAAACATACTGGCAAAATATAATGATTCAAGACTTTTTGATTTTTCAGAAGAAATTGTTTAAACATTTTAACACATTTGACTCCTGTGACCTTGAAGATTGGTCAAGGTAATTTCTTTTAGAAAACTTTATATGACATCATAAAAGGAACATAGTAGCTTAATATAATGATTCTAGGCCTTCTGGTATTAAGGGAGATGTCGTTTAAAGGTTTTAACACATTTGACCTCTGTGACTTTGAATATGGGTCAAGGTCATTTCTTTTCGCAAACTTTGTTGGGCTTCATCAAAGGAACCTTCCAGTCATATATAATTATTTTAGGCCTTCTGGTATTTTGGAGGAAGTCGTTTAAAGTTTTTTTTACATTTGTCCCTCTGTGACCTTGAATATGGGTCAAGGTAATTGCTTTTTGCAAGCTTTGTTGGGCTTCATCAAAGAAACCGTCCAGCCATATAAAATGATTCCAGGCCTTCCGGTATTTTGGAAGAAGTCATTTAAAGGTTTTAACACATTTGACCTCTGTGACCTTGAATATAGGTCAAGGTCATTTCTTTTTGCAAACTTTGTTGGTCTTCAGCAAAGGAACCTTCCAGTCATATATAATTATTTTAGGCCTTCTGGTATTTTGGAGGAAGTCGTTTTAAGTTTTTTTTACATTTGTCCCTCTGTGACCTTGAATATGGGTCAAGGTAATTGCTTTTTGCAAGCTTTGTTGGGCTTCATCAAAGAAACCGTCCAGCCATATAAAATGATTCCAGGCCTTCCGGTATTTTGGAAGAAGTCATTTAAAGGTTTTAACACATTTGACCTCTGTGACCTTGAATATAGGTCAAGGTCATTTCTTTTTGCAAACTTTGTTGGTCTTCAGCAAAGGAACCTTCCAGCCAAATATGAATACTCTATGCCTTTTGGTGTTTCAGAAGAAGTTGTTTAAATGAAAAGTTGACGGACAGACAGACGAAGGATGCCGTGGTATGGCATAACCTCACTTGGCCCTTTGGGCTAGGTGAGCTAACAAATTAGTGTCTTGTCCTAAGGCAGTACAGTAAGGCCAGAGGTCGCTGCTGGTAAAGGGATCCAACTAAACACTATTTGCAATACATGTAGTCTGAAGACTGAGCTATTGCACATGCAGTCTCTACTCAATAATGAAGAGAAACTTAAATATATTGTTCTATAAAAGGTTTATTACAAAAGTCCGAGGAAACATCTGAAACAATATAGTTATATATACAAATGATACATGAATGATGTCAAGGTCAAGTTGAAAGTAAAAGATGTATATGAAAATAAATCTGCAATATTAAAATTTGGTAATCTTACGTCCATTAAAATTTCAAAGCAAGAGAAAATCTAAGAACTGTTCATAATCAAATAAAGTTAGACAATAATCAAATTTTTAATCTTTGAATTACATTTTTAATCTTTGAATTACATAATCTTGAAATTAATTCCAGAAAGAATTTAGGATTGATAATACATGAAAGAATTATTTTTGTTGAAAGATATGAAAATTAATGAAGAATGTATTGATGGCACAATATGATAGGTAAATGAATATATATGAAATCCTCAGTGTTTGAATATATATATGCTAATTACAACTTATATACAAAACATTCTTTTCAAAAATAAGTGTTCCATTTAAAAACAGTTTGTTATGTTATATATGTAACAAAACATTTAAGCTGCGTAATGATACAATCATTTAAAACTCAAATCCATGATTACTACAAGTACACATTGAATATTTGCATCTCTTTGTTAGCTAGTCTTCGTCTTCTCTTTCAAATAATAAATGGTTACAAGCAGTTTGTTAATTTCTCTTCTTAGCATTGAATCATGTTATTTTTGTAGAAAAAATTATCAGCCTTTAAAAAAAAAAGAATTGAAAAATGCCAACCATGTTTTTAATAAAATTTCAACTTTCAAAAACAATAGCCAAACAATATCATTATCAATATGTGATAACAGCAACTCCAAATAACTGGACTCAAGCTGACATGATATTCTCAATATTATTCTTTATTTTATGTTTCCATCTAGCACTTGTAAGTTATATTGTGAGAATTTATATGTTCTTTTCCAGAGCTCTTTCTGAGAAATATATTTTGGAATGTAAATTGTGGTCTTGGCCACTTTCTAGTATCCGGTATATACAAATTATTTCATTGCTTAAAAATGAAGTTTCATAGTTAAATACAAGAAAAGTTCGATGCGTACATATCCTGTTATTATTCTTCAAGAAAGTTTGATGTTCCAATAATTATTTCACTTAGTCTCTTGAAATTTGATATATCACACCGAAGAAATTTTTGGACAAATTTGGTTTTCCTTTCAACATTCAATATTTATCCCCGAAAGATGGAATAGCAACAGAGATCTGACAATTTATGTTTTTGTGTGATCTAGGAATTCTTCACTGATGTTTTTAACAAAAGATCTTTAAAAGATGGATATAAAGACTAATAGCGCCTCCTGGGGAAATCTTCCTTAAGCTTCTTCCGGAGGTCAAGACCAGCTTTGAGGAGTGTGACCGCTGCAGCAAGTGTGAACATTGTGGCCACTACATAGAGTCCATACGACCATGACAAGAAGTTTTGATCCGGCCGAGGCATCCATTGACGGTCTTCCTTCTGAACTCCAAATAGCACCAGAACAATGAACTGTATTATTGCTGAAAAGAAATCCAGAAAATATGTATATGCAAATATATGATATCATTCAGTGATTTTTGGGGGTAAGGGAAGTGATATTTACTAAGATCTATACAGTTTTCTTCAAAGACAGAATACCATACTTAAAACTTGTATTTTTGCCATGTACCAAATACAGGGGATATCAATTGTGACATCACAATTTGTGATATCACACATGCATGTCCATGGTTATGTTGTTGGCAGGGGCGAAAAAAAAACCTATTTGGATGAAACCACATAATGTGATAAATAGAACTGAAACCATGCTTCAATTCTCATGAAGAATTCATCAAGTTACTACAATAATTGGGTTATCAGGTAGCAAAGTCATATGTCTTGTCACCTAGACATTTGGAGGTTAGATTCACCAAATAGATATGAAGCAGTATGGTGTTGCTTGTCTGACCACAAGGATTTACACCGGGTACTTTGGTTTCATCCCAAAATAGGACTCCTAACACGCTATAATGCAGGCTAACCATTGATGTAAGCTGGAATAACTGTTATTAAAATGGTTGTACAATATCTAAGTTTAGAGCCAAGTCTACAAGAACCAATGTCCGAAATTGAATCTAAGAAAATATTTCACTTTATACAACATCAGAGAGTTAGATGTTACACTCGAAAACAAGAAAGCACTATTTTGAACTAACAACTTTACACAGTATTCCGCCATTTTATATTGCTATCTTGCAAGAGATGCTTACCAGGGCTCTCACACATCATTTTGGGACTGGGGCCCTGGGCTCTTAGAATTGGGAAAAATAGCGGCGTTCTCCTTCGAATTGGGAAAATTTGGGGTCTAAATTGGGAAAAAAGATACTATTTGGCATTGGGAATTCGGCCCCAAATCTGGCAGATTGAGAGCCCTGCTTACTAAACTGTTTATATATAAAACTGGAGAATATTTTAAATCTTCTCTGAGACAATTTGATGGAAAACTAACTTTCACTTCATTTTTGCCCAAACAGGAATATCAGCAAATTTCAATGCAGTGATTATATAAAACCACTGCTATTGTCTAAATATATATAAACATCCTTGTTTACCTATGACAAACTTGGTAAGACTACAACCCAATAAGATGATCTCCTCAAGATATTCTGGGAAAACATGACATACTGCCAGGATGCCTGTAAACGTTGTAATAACCAGGAAGAGCAGTGACACGCTCACCATCACTTGCACCGCGATGAACCAATCTGTAGAAACAATAAATTAACATGGTTAAGATCAACAGAATGATTGAGTCTATGTTATTAAATTTAACAGAATCTCATATTTGGATGATGATTGATTTTGTTGACTACTCCTTAAACAGATCTGTAAAGTATCGGATTACTGATTATTGACGATAAGCCCCTGACAAATTAAACACCAATAATCATATCTATAGCTAACTTGCTGTTGAGTCAAGGCTATTTACTTACGAATGCTAATTGGAATAAGTCCATCCTGAGTTTGAAGTTTCAATCAGTGGTAAAGTGTTAGTCTCTGGGCTTTTTTTTTTTTTTTTGGTATGATCACATCACTATCGGTAACTCTCTATCAGAGACTAAAATATTTGTCCTGTCTTAAGAGAGTCTATTTACAACTGAAATTTTTTTTCAAAAAATACATTTCTAAAACAGGTTAGGTTACAAAATGCAGGACATGGCATGTTAACCAGAAATATAATTGTTTATGTGTAAATGAGCTGTAGGATCATATAAGCACTTGGTCAAACATTACAAGTGCCATATTTGGGGAGGAAAAAGAAAAAAAGTATTTAAAAGTTGCCAGATTATAAGATAAAAACTTTAGCTGACATCAACATCAAGTGGTATTTTTGTGGCACCGGCAATAAAATCGCATTTCCCCCTTGTTTGAACACCCGTGCATGAGGTATTAGTGATTCTGTGTACATGTTTACCAATTGACAGGAAGTGCACATTGTACTAAACCACACCTTTTCTGTGCAGGTGATTTCATTGCCAATTACCTATACGTATTAAGAATTAAAATCTTTAAATGATTCAATAAAACTCGTATCGATGTAGATGTATACTCACGAGGGGAAAGCCATTCCCAGATAGGTCTGTATTGGTCCGAAAAGATATACCAGCAGCCCTTGTATCTGTTTCCATTGTAGTCCTTCCAAAACGTGTAATCATTGAAACAGAATTCCCATAGTCCCGCCTTAATAAACCGACTGTCCGAAATGCCGAAAGATTCTACCCAGTAAGGACTCGCGAAAGCTCCGACTAGGAAAGCTACTGCTATCATGGACAGGACAAGCGCTATCACAGACTTGTCCGCCATTTTCAATGGCGTCTTCGTTTGAAAAGTTGGGTCATCTACCTGGAATGTTTACAACATTGGGCGAGTTCATTATGAACAAAAGGGGTTATTTTATCAGCACAGGTATGATATATCAGGTGAGCTATAATTATTGTCACCTACACGACGTGCAGGTACTGATATAGTTAACAGAGTAAAACAAAGCATTTATTGGAAGTGATTTGATTTAATCAAACAAATTAATCCTGTCGTTTCTTTTTAAATTATAGCGTAAAATTTCGCATCCATTAGAAATTTCTGCTAACCAAGGGAAAAATTTCGGAACGAGCAATTGTATTAATTTTACATAAACTTGTATGGCCCGGAGCCATAGCAAAGCTCATGAACATCTCGTGAATAGACATAGATTTTAGAACTGTCAATTAAATCTAAATAAATTTGATGTGATCTAAAAATAGAAAAAAAAATGAATAAAAACGTCTCGGACCTCATATTTTTTTCATTATACATGTGGTGATGGCCTGTGTAACATTATTGCTCTCTATGACATGCGAGTCGGACCTCCCGCACGCAGTTCAGTGAACTGGTAGCCACACCAACTACTTCAAGTTGACCTCAGCTATAAATAAACCTGACTGTTGTGTAAACGTAACAGTCAAACAAACCTGATAATGTGCTGACTGCTAATAGACAATGATTGAGTCTGCCATGAACACCTACACACAGAGCACTTAATAAATAACCTCCCAGACATCCGTGGCCCCGTAAATTGCATCGTATTGTCACGATCTAATTAAAATTAGATCCATAGAATGGCAGTGTCCGGCGAGACATGTCTACTTAAACGATATCGTTATCTTTACTCACAAATAAATTATAGAAGGCAAACAAAATATCAGTGGATATGATGATCAGGAGTACATTACTTTAGGCAAATGTGATTCCGATTGAGTAATGTAATTTTTGAATATACGACTGTCAGGTTTCATGAAGTAGTAAACTACTTTCCGGCACATTTACACACCTTAGCATTATATATATAAACAATCTCAAGTTTTCCCACGATATTATGAAAATGGGGGCGAGACGATTACATTTCTTTTTTCATTTCTGTAAAGCTAAAGATACGTTCTCGAAGAAGAAATAGAATGATATATATATTCATGTATTATGATATCTCCATGAATAATCAGAGATATGTCTCTGGCATAATACAGTAATTTACATAGATATCAATGTATATTTATTTCCAATTTTATGAATTTTCCATATATGTACCCCGGGTCCCTGATGTACCGGACACCGATGAATTAAACCTAATATCTAATAAAGTCTTTGATTAACAGCTAATGTCAATAACAGAAACACGTCACTCCATAAACGATCTAGTTGTAGTATCAAGAAATCGATAGAATTATAATTTTTGTAACCAATTCACCTGTACATTACTTTTATCGCTCATTGTTGTACCAGGCACGTCTCTGGTTGTATCGATTTACTTCTTTTCCGGAGTTCAAGCAAGAAGTTCTTGATTTCTATATTCTAAATCTTGATTTAAAAAAATAAATTGCAATAACTGTAAGGCATGTCGAAATGGCTCGTACATAGTGTTAAATGCAGTTATGTGTCACTCTGCAGACGAATCAGTAAGTTCTCGTTATCACCCGGCTTAAGTTCTATTATTTTTCAGAACGCGCGGTAGGAATATTTTTCCCAACATATTTTAAAAGTATTATTTGATTAAATACTATCAAAAATAAAATATAATAAGATATTTCAAAATTCTTTAGAACATTGATAACTTAAGTATTATTGCAATTTCATATGTTTTAATAGTCTTTCTATAACCGCGCTTATAATATATGATGTGACACAAGGGAGATAACACGTATTACTGTTACTTTACCTGTGTCACACCTGCCACACCTTTAACAACTTAGACTCGTCCTACCTGTTGTTCAAACGGTTTCAAGATGGAGAATCGCGTCAAGTGTCTCCTGTACGGAGCGTTGATTTTCTCCTCTTTGGCGTTCTTATTTTTCGTGATCGGATTTTCGACACCTCACTGGCTTGAATCAGATGACCGCTACATAACAGTCAATCATTTTGTTCGTCTCGGACTTTGGGAAGCTTGCTTTAATCAGTGGACATACTACAAAGACTACACAGGCAAGACATACAACGGATGTTGGTGGATTTTCTCATATGAATATCGTCCCATTTGGCAATGGTTGAACCCACGTAAGTGCCCAAGTTTATGACATAAACAATATATTTCAGCTTCTTGTTGAATTTGAAAAAAACACCTGTTGATTACAGGTAAGGGAAACGGGTAAAACAAAATGGATGATTGGTGATTCACCCGGGACCAGTCATTATTTGGAAAGATGGGTATGCTTGGTAAATCTCCAGAAAACTACACATTTAATTAATGTATGTCATACACGGTAAATATATTAATGATTTAGAATTAAGATATATTTAATTTACAATTTTACGCGTTTATAATGATAAAAAAAAAAAAAAAAAATGCTACAGAGCCCTAGCAAGTAGGAAGTTGGAATGTAAATATGTTTATGAAGTGAAAACTCAGCTCGACCAATACCTATTGTTACCAGTGTAACATATATCCAGGTTACTTGTTCAATGAGAGACATTATATTGTCAAATGTCCGATTTGAAGGAGTCCCAGGGAGGAAAAGGGATTTATACTCGGTTAAAAACACAGACAGAGGTGCAACATATACAGCTCTGAATTTTCTTTGACTCTTACATTAGGCGTTTATCAAAATCAAGATGAATGAGTCAGACTAGGAAACATGGACTAGTAACTGGGTACCAAAAAGTTACATTTATATCGGTTAACTTTAACACATCATACTATAAACTTGAAATAAGATTTTGTCACAGACTTTTGTACAATTTTTTTGAATCTCATGACCATGAGTAAAGGAGAGTTGCAACTTTATTACCACCTATCATGTTAAAGATTCAAACTGGATGGAGATTTGGAAACACTGACTGCTGTGTAAGGTTATTAATAATACGATAGTGATTTAAGTACATTAATGGTGATACTATAATTTACCATATTTATCTGACAATAAGTACTTGTCTGGTAATAAGCACACCCATATCTGGTACTATTAATGATCAAAAGAGTTACAAATTACTGTTTTTATTCATTATTCTGCAATAAGCCGAGGCTATAAGTAAGAGATGACATGTTGGTACACTGGGTTTGTTGAAGATAAATGTGCTAATATTATACCATATACCTGGTATGTATTTTAGAGAGTTCTGGCATAGGGCCAACGCTGTTCATCCTATTTGGGTGGGTTGTTGTTTCCTTCACTCCTCAGCTGGATACCCTAAGGGTATGCTGAGCGATTGAGCAGTAGAACAAATCAGATATATATATCAATCATAGCTTTGGAGTGTATGATTTACGATTTTATTCGGTGCTTGCAATGGTCGACAAGCACTGAATAAAATTGAAATCATACACTTCGAGGCTGATGTGATTGCTATATCTATCTGATATATGTGTTTTGTAATAAGGCGAAAGTCAAGTGGGATATTATGTTCATATACATGAATATTACTTTGTTTGCCTCCTTGTTATTAATAGTTTGTAAAATTCTCAATGTCAACAGATGATGTGAAATCATTGAATTAACATGAGCACGCATGGTTTATATAGACAGCTGTGATTGCATCTTATTAAGTATATGTAATACATTGTTTTGTAATTACTAAAAGATTATATATGATTTCATATAATGAACATCTGTATCCCTGTAATGGATATATGTATGCTAAATGGATATATGTACACTTTTTGGAACAAAATTTAAGAGGGAAAAAAGTATTCCAGCATTTATAAACCTTGTCTGAATGCATTTTAAAATATCTATTTATGTTACAGACAAATAAAGCAAATAAATTGCCTATAGTTAAAGTCAGAAACTCAAAAGAGGACCAGGAAAATCTTTGTGACTTTTATTTATATAAAAAGTACATAGGAGAATTGCTACAGTTGAAATGAATTTGAATTTCACTTCAACCTTTTGTTTTGTTACAGCATGGTTCCTTGGAGTTCAAGTAGTGATGACATTGACCATGATTTTTGAGGGCGTGTCCCTCCTGCTTCTCATCCTGTTTGTTATTGGTTGTTGTCCAGGGAAAACAAGCTACAAAGGACTTTTCTTCTTAGCAGGACTTACAATATTATCGGGTAAGATGGAAACGAGTAGAATTCTTGTTTATTTTCCGTTATCAGTAAGTTACACAGATAGATATATTTTGATTTTTAATTTGAAAAATGGGGTGTTAATTTACACTGCCAAAATATTGTTCCTAACTACTGTAATTGCCCTCGGATGGAAAAAACTAAATGCTACCGTACTTAGTTTATGAGTCGGGGAGTTATCGTTGAATTATTGAATTTTGATTAACATTTATTTCTGCTGATTACGTGGGTACTAAATCATCAAGTGTATATAAAGAGAATACATGGTCAGTATCTTAAGATATAAGCTGTATGGTGTTGAGGGTGGAGAAAGACAAAAGCTTCAAACCTCTGATGAGCCACTTTTGTCTTTCTGTCCCGAGCGAAAATGCAGCTTACATTTAAGACATTGACCATGTTTTCTGTATACCATATTTTCCGGGTATAAACTGCACTGTTTTAAGAGCGACAGAGCCAGTTTTTAGCAATTTCTTTTTTATTTGATCCACATATTAGGTGTAACAAAATAGAAGCCGCATCCTCTCTTACGATATAGTAAACTCAATTGTTGACGTTTGATATAGAAGTAACAGATAACGGAAGACAGTTCTAACGAAGTAGTAACTGTTATATCGACCAAAGTTCATTGTTATAACAAACAGAGAGCAATATATCAAGAATGTCAATGAAATATTTAATTTAAAGTTTGCAAAAGAATTACACACAGATAATCCTTTTTTTATTATTGATGTATTTCAAAAAATCATTAAATAGCATCCTGCTGATTTTTATAAGCCACACTGGTATATAAGCCAAACTGGTATATAAGCCAAACTGGTATATAAGCCACACTGGTATATAAGCAGCATGCCAAACTCATGAGGAAAAAGGTGCAGCTTATGATCCGGAAAACATGGTATCTTGGAGCACTTATTTCAACAGTTAATATTGTTAAACCTGCATTTTTAAAGTTAATTCAGAAAGTAATTCTGTCAAATTAACACACATGCTAAAAATACAGCTGTATTCTATCACTGCCGAATCCAACCAAAAATATATGTGAAAAGTGTATTCTGACAATGACAGAGCTAGTTTCAGGATAAATGCCCAATGATACAATAGGAATATTAAATAAGTAGATTTATTGAGCTTTATTTATTCATGAAATAAAATATCCACAAAATAGTGATTTAAGAAAAAAATCATGAAAATTGAGTGCAATATATACCAGTAGTTGTTATAATTCTTGTATGGTATATTAGCTCATTAACTAAAATGCTTCTGTTGTGACCTACAAGAAAAATCTCTAGTTGGAGAAATTTACAGAGACCCAACTTCTTGCCAAGTTCATTGATGTATTGAAGTTCATCTTCTAGTCTTCATCTGTAGACTGTTTCACAAGAAATGACCATTGATTTCCAAGCCATAACTGTGATGAAGGATGATAATAGTTCTAAAACTCACCCCTGGTCTTCAATCATCCACCATTGCTTTTATGGTGAGAGTGATTTTTTGGACTTGAATATCCTGGATGGGTGCTTTCCCTCTGATGAACCCACTTTATCTCAAAGACATCAAAATTTTGGACTATTGTTCTTGACTCATCCGAAAAAAATTTACCAGATGAGCACTTTTTTTATAAATCAGCCTTTGTATTGTGACATGACCATGGATGGCCATTAACACATTACATCTTAAGCAGTTCCATGGGAATGTCAAAATACATATTTATTGATTTGCAGTGCAATCAGTTGTTTTTATATTAACAAAGTGAAATTCTCATTTTTTGAGAGTAAATGATGCGTTAGTAACTTAATTTGGTTTTGAAATAGCTCAACAGATCAAGTTGAGCTGATATTTCAAATTTGTAAATCATGATAAATTGTACTTTGTAGGGTTATTGACTGCATGCTGTACAATTATTTTCGGGGCCAAGTCTGTGATTGACCGACAGTGGCTGGAGAATCCTGACCAGAACTACCTGTCCTGGTCATTTGGTCTGATTGTATTGAGTGGATTCTGCATCTTGTTCAGTGGAATGTGTATCCTTGTGGCAGGGATGCAAGTCCGAATTGAGAGTCGGTACAGGGAGCCTGAACCTTATGAAGGATACAACATGAAACCAGCTCCAACTAATTATTAAATTTGGAGCTATGTCATTATAGCACATGTATATCTGAAGGATTGAACTACTGATATCATTTTCACAAAAATTACTTCTCGTAAGGAAATTCATAAAAAAATTTTTATGGTAATGCCTTCTTTTAATTCAGGAATGCATTTAGTTCTCTAAGTCACAGAAATTTTACATAAAAGGATTCTTTAAAGTTAAAGAACATCACATGGTTGTGATAACTTATGACCATATCAAAGAAGCATTTTGGTAATTAGAGCCAATCACAGAGGTGATACTGTTCGGTATATTGTCTTTGTAAGTCACCTGTTGGAGGCAATAATGACCTGTCACTTCCAGAGCCTAACACCAAGACAATCAGGATTCCGTCATAATTTGAGGCTTCAAACTTTGTCCTGATGGAGGTCATTTTGGTCTTGATTTCTCCCTAGAAGTTTCTATGGAGTCTTCGTAGTCTTCTTTTAGTGGATGATAAATTTTAACATTGGACAATTACTGGTAGAACATGTATAAAATCACTGATATAATATATTAATGGATTCCAGGAATGAGCATGGGCATTTTTGTTAATAAATATTTTTTACTTATATTTAGGAACTATTTTCATCTATTTACGAAAAAAAATCTCCATTCCAAATGTGATTTTTCAAATCAAAGCTGAGATCAAAAACATTTTGACCTAACAAATTCTAATTTAGGGGATTTGCAGTCACAAGGAAAACTCTCCAAGCTTGATCATGGATAAAAATGTTTTACTTATGCATACATGAAATTACACATATATAAAACTGTTTTTGTTATTCAAAATTTTGTTTTGATAAAAAAGATAAGGATATCTTTCAATCTCCAAACTGGATTTTTTCTGTCGTTAATTGTCAATTTTGCTGTAATATCTGAATTAATGCCCCTGTTTTACCAGGAAAATATTGATGTGGATCAGGGAAGAAAGATAACCAGTATATCTTTCCAAGATTTGTGTTATGTTTATCGGTCAACAATTTTTCCTGTTCTTAGTTTTATGCAAAACGTTGAATATTTCATTCCATTTCCATCATTATGCATGTGTGTTGAATTCATATTGTCATCCTATGGTCTAATTCAGGTGAAAATTCACCAAGGAAATTGTAATGTATATGATAGCAGCAAGTATTTGGATAGTTTATTTCAATATGTGACAATATGTACACAATTTCTCTAATGACCATTCTATATTTCTAACTATTCTGGACAGTAGTTCAAGACTATGTATTAAGAATTCCAATCATTAGCTATTCATATTGTGTGGTCAGGATTCTCGTTAAGATATTGATAACACATAGAAGTTTGTCATAGAAATAAGAAAAGATATTATTTTATAGACGGAGATGTTTGCTTCTGTATCTTAACAGGAAGATTTACCAATTATTTGTTTTCAAAACATTTTCCGAAATACATTGCTAAATTGCTTTTATTAAATAGAAATCATGGACTCTAATGTTGAAGTGAAAAAATAATTGTGATATGATTGGATCATTAACAATTGGGAAAATGGTTCTTTTTGTTGATGGTTTGATACAATAAGGTGGGAAGGTGACTTGGTTTTAATGCACCAGATCAGGATCAACTGTAATGTCTTGGTCCTGGACATTCTTAACTTTGGAGTTATATGGAGGTAGTAAAACAAAACATCCAGATGATGTTGACTATATATTTTGGAGGATGGTATGGGAAAATGGGATGTAGCATACATTTCATCAGATTTTATATTTTCTGTTTTTAAAAGAAAAAAATTCAAAGAGAATGAAAAGCAATGTGGAACATGTATGTATTTTGTAGAATTAGCTATATAAATATGTTTAAAAGTTTTATTTTCAAATCTTGTATATTTGTGTATATAGTGTTGTTGTAACCTACATCAAGGGTCCATTTGTGCAAGTCTTGTTTGCTCAATGAAATTTATAAAATAGTTGTACTATTAAGTACAGAAGTAAGAAAATTACTTATAAGAACAGTGTGTAAAGGAAACCAAACTATGTAAATGTTATGGGAACAGAATAAACACAAAACTGAGAAAAAAGTCCTGCTCAGAAAAAGAGGGAAAATTTATCAAAAATGCTTTTTACATGTGAAAATTTTAAAATTCTGTTAATGTGTGTCTCATTAAGCTAACAATTCGTAAGGTCCTTTCAATTTTGTACATCAATTGTTGCCATATTGTTAATAATTCATGCATGTGAACACTGTAAATAGTCCCATCTTTGACACTGATCATTATCAATGTCATGATTTCTTTAAACATTATTAAACTTTTACCACAAAAAAAGTCCATTAAGGATAAATCTAGAAATGACACAGTTAGCTAATTCCTTCCTGATTGTATACATGTATTTCAAAATTTTAACAAAACTACTTTTATAGTTTGTACAAATTTTAACAATTTAATACCATGATACAAGTTATGTCTATGGTAATTAGGATAATGATTCCTGTGAGTTTTTCTACAGTATTTGTCATAATGAAAATTTTGTTATGATAAGGATCAACACTTCATTACCATGGATGTATTCTATATCAAAGTGTTGGTATTAAAATTGTGGAATGATTTTGAGTTTTCAGATTTAAATCTTGTACATATGTATATATGCAGTGATTTAATATAAGTGTATCAATTTGTACTTTTTAAAGGTAAAAATAAAATTTTTACTCAAAGTTTTCTTGTACATTTATATGTAAATGGAAAAGTCGCTTTTAGATTTTAAAGAATATTCCACAAGACTTTTGAATGCATCATTTATGCACATTTAGTATTTAATTTGTTGTTAAAATATTTTTGAAATTTGTAAATTTTTCAGTAAATTGTTTCTAATAACATTTTGTTTTTCTTAGGTCAATATATTGAATTGGGGAATTATTGTAACTTTGAAATAGTTTGAAACAAATGGCCTTCTGAACAATCAGTGACGTGGAATTAATCTTAATAAAAATCACCTTACATAAAGTTCTGATAATCCAAACCTTCAATGAAAGTTTTGTTATCTTGTTTTTTTAATAAATGCAATTTGATGTAAATATCCAAAAAGAAGTCTCTTTTGTATTGACTCTTTGTAAATGTCATTCCTTACAGCAATACCATTGTAAACCTCAAGGTCAGATTCTTCTTTCATAGTCATGTCAATTTCATCTTTTTTGTTACCATATCATCACAAGATAATAAAATATATTTCTAAATTGTAGAATTTGGGGTTTTTTTCCTGGTTGAAGTGAGATATTTTCACAATATTTATTAGCTCACCTGGCCTGTGGATGAAGCCCAACAATGTTTGGGAAAAGAAATGATCTTGACCAATGTTCATGGTATAGGGGTCATTTTTTTAAAAAATCTTTTAACGACTTCTCATGAACTAAAATTCCTAGAGATATGGCGTTTGACTGGTATGTTTCTAGGATGAAGCATGGCAACATTTGGGAAAACAAATGACCTTGACTTACATTCAAGGTCACAGGGTCCAAATCTGGCAAAATATTTAAATGACTTCTCATGAACTAAAAGACCTAGAAGCATGATATTTGGTTGGTATATATATGTATATACCAGGTAAGATTTGGTTGGTATATATATGTATATACCAGGTAAGATTTGGTTGGTATATATATGTATATACCAGGTAAGATTTGTTTGGTATATATATGTATATACCAGGTAAGATTTGGTTGGTATATATATGTATATACCAGGTAAGATTTGGTTGGTATATATATGTATATACCAGGTAAGATTTGGTTGGTATATATATGTATATACCAGGTAAGATTTGGTTGGTATATATATGTATATACCAGGTAAGATTTGTTTGGTATATATATGTATATACCAGGTAAGATTTGTTTGGTATATATATGTATATACCAGGTAAGATTTGGTTGGTATATATATGTATATACCAGGTAAGATTTGTTTGGTATATATATGTATATACCAGGTAAGATTTGTTTGGTATATATATGTATATACCAGGTAAGATTTGGTTGGTATATATATGTATATACCAGGTAAGATTTGTTTGGTATATATATGTATATACCAGGTAAGATTTGTTTGGTATATATATGTATATACCAGGTAAGATTTGTTTGGTATATATATGTATATACTAGGTAAGATTTGTTTGGTATATATATGTATATACCAGGTAAGATTTGTTTGGTATATATATGTATATACTAGGTAAGATTTGTTTGGTATATATATGTATATACCAGGTAAGATTTGTTTGGTATATATATGTATATACCAGGTAAGATTTGTTTTTATATATATATGTATATACCAGGTAAGATGGCTAACCTGGTGTTAAAATACTTGTTTTGTTTGTAAAACATTTAAGAGGAGAAAGAAATCTTCAGATATATTTGAAAACAAATTCAAGCAAGATGACTGTCATAAGAAATCTGATACCACTGTGTTTCTATGGTAACTCCTACTAAACTAGACCGGTCTATGAATTCGCGGCATGAATTTATTTGTAATGTCTGAAACGCTGTGACAAGGAAAAGTCTGTTAATAAGATAGTTTTTAGTCGTGTATAATGCTCTCTCCCCTGTTCGCTCTTTTATATTTACGTACATTGTACATTTACAAAAGACAATAAAATATACGGTGAATGAGACGAGAGACTTATATCAGTTTGGAAATAAATTGAAATATTTTTCCCGCTTGTTTTTGTATCCCATATTTAATGTATATATACTCAGATATTTTTTTAAAACCAACATACTCTTTATATCTAATGTAAAGAAGTTTAACATACACATGTTCCTGCTAATTAGCTAATTTGTCTATATCATTAATTTGCTCTTTTAAGTTTAAATCCTTCATACTCACCATTATAACCAGGTGTCCATGTCTGGTTTGCCTCAAGTTCTTCCCTAATAGACCATTTGTCAACACCACTTAACATTTTGTACACGACACAGTAGCATAACGATAAAAAATTGTATGATATCGAACAGATATATCGATCTCTACCTAGGGGGAAATTAGTGAAATAATTAGTATGACGTTTACACTGATTGAAAGCACACTTATGACCAAATGGATTGTTCAGGGACATTAACCAGCAACCACTGTTCATGAAAACTTAGAATATGCTTGCTTTGCATCAAATTTAAACATATATATATAAATTATAAACAGGAAGTTACAGTTTTCTAAAGAAAAACGGTACTTTAAATGAATATGAAATATTTCCAAATTCCATAGAGCTGTGTAGAGTGAAATCCAAGTACAGAGGAAATCACTTGATGTCACGTTTGTTAATGTCACATTCCAGTTATTTTTTATGTAACCAGATGTTAACGTCTCGTTCCGCTTATTATCACCCCTTTATAAAAAGAACATGATATTAAGCGATTTCCACCCTATACTATATTAAGAGCGATATTTATTATTTATTCATCCGTTTTCTTGTTATAACACATGAAGAGTACACTTAGTATTGTCGTGTTTTGTTGCAAACAAATCAAAGTTAGATTTATTACATACAACATCCATTAATTGAATTTTCATAATACTTAAAATGTTTAATATCAAATAACCATTGTACAGTATAGGACTGATATCTAGCTATACACGTACATAAGCTGATGGTTAATGATCTACATAATCTAAGCCTTATTTATACATAACATCCAATTGTATATGATGTAGTATGAAATGGATCTTTCGGACAAGACAGCGTCTCATGCCACCGTATCGCAATTTCTATCATAGAACATGGTAGGAAAATGAGTTTCCCTTATCGGTTAAGAAATCCAAGTTAGACGTTTATCTTATTTTTTACTTAATTCATTCCACCTGCTAAATT